TCTATTACTCTGTCTCAAAGGTCTTCAGGCCTATGCAGAATCCTATTTTGGGATCTGGCACTCAGAATGTAAAGCCAAATTTTTAATTAAAACCCTACATATTTTGCCTTCAAAAATGTTACTTAATTAGTTTAATCAATATGTATGGAGCAGGGAGAAACTCTTACAGAGGAAATTCTTAAAATGGAAACAATTTGAAGCAGTGTTTTAGAAGAAATATTCACAATGCCTAAAATTAAAAATGGCCTGAGGGGAGGAATAGAAGGATTTATATGTACAAATGCCCCAAGAGAACTTCTCCTGTGAAATTTTCCCCAAAATAAATATTTTTCTGATCAGCTTTGGATAGAGAGAACGCATTATTCCATTAGATATAGGCAAGAATCAGTCACTGTATGAAACACAGACCAGATGCATTCCCTTTATACTTTATACCATCAAACTGCCTTTTATCCACATTCCCCACATGAAAATCTGTCTTCAAAATCCTCCTGGAAACAAAATCAATATAATAATAATTTTTATAATGAGTAGAAAAATGTGCAAGAAGAGGAAGGACGTTTTTATATCCTCTAATGAAATGCTGTGCCCAGATTGGTAGGCTAGCACTGCCTCTGGGCCAGTATGGTGTGTGCTGAAATGCAGAATGATATCAGTTCACTTGCTCAGCCTACAACTACTTGCTGGCACAAAACTTCTGATAATCCAATAAATATGTGCAGCCTCCGAATGCAACCAGTTTCATATGAGCTAGCTCACCTGTTTTGCCAGGGTATTGCAGCTCCAGGTGTTACCGTCCCAAAATCTGGAGCTCCTCTAAATGGCTTGCCTAAATGCCAAAGTGACAGAAGTAGAATAGAAAATGTATGCTCCTGGCTGTTAGTCTATCTACTGCATAACCCATCTTTCCTTCCGCACTGTGAAAAAGCGTTAGAATTACATTGTTTTCTAGAAGTGAAAAACACAGGAGAAAAGGATCATCTAATACCACTTTAGACACTTTTACAATAATTGTTTCTACTCCTAATTCTAGAGTAGTTTATAGGCAAGGATTTTGATAATTTTTGTCTCTGGATTTTAGGCCTTGTTCTGTTTCCCTGTACCTCATATTAACCTCATATGTATTGGCAACTAGCAAAAGTCTTGTCTGTAATACAAAGGAGAGTCTGGATGAATTGGGAAGTACAAGTTAATTGTGAACATAATTGCACTTCTGGTGGATAATTGCAATTGTAAGTCAAGCAAGACAGCTTCTAACACTTGGGTCAGGTTTTTAATTCTGTGATCTAAATTATTAATGAGGATATTTTCATAAGCTTTCTGCATAAAAAGTGACTTCATAACAGAGAGGTCAGCTGGTCTTGTCTTCTAGCCTTTATCATTCTCAGTGATAATCAGAAGCTGTTTTCCCATAAATATATGCTGTTTTTATGCATCCTGACATACACACCAGACGTAGGTGGTGAATTACTTAGAAGCTTTATGAAGCAAAAATTAATTCTGTACGTTCTAGTTCAAAGAGTGATTTAATACCTTGGGAATCTTGAAAGCCATATCGAGTCTATTATGGAAAGCCCAATGCAGGCCACTTTTCACAGTGTGGCTGCAGTCAGATGAAGTGGCATGTTGCATAAAGAAAACAAGTTGATCAGTACAAGCCTGTATAACAATATCATATAAATCAGTAGTGTTTCCATGTCTGATAGACAGCTGCATTGAACACATTATATCTTGAGACTGATACAGTGTCAATATAAGAGAATTTGAGACAAGCAGCAAGGTTGATTAGGAGTATAATGATTTTTAGAAGAGGAGAGTGAAAGGTTGAGATTATTGATGCAGAAGATGGATTGAAAACTTCTATAACCTGTCTCCTAAAGCAAGATTTAAGAGCCCATCCAGTATCTTCAAATAGAAAATATTCAAAACAAGTACACTAGAATTTTGTTTTGTACCTGAAACACAAAGAAATGACGGAATTCAAAGTCACAAATATGGAAATTTAAGATAATCAGAAAGATATTTGGCACCCTTTTCAATTAGAATTTTAAACAATAAACATATGAAGTTTTATAAAAGATAAATCACTTTAAAGTGCATGAGTTAAACAGCCAAACATATGCTTCCTCTATAATGGTTTATTGCATCTTCTTGGGGTGTGTCTTGGCTCATTGGCATTATGAACATTGAGTAAGAGTCAGGATATTGGACAAAATGGGCAATTATTTATATTCATGGTGACAGTTTTTCTTCCTTTGGCAATCTGAATTAAGTTGTTATAATTTATCTCTGCTCTGTTTGTCAAGAAAAAAGAATGGATGACAGCTCTGATTTCCCTTTCTGTCCCCAGAAAGTAGATGTCATAGTTGCCTTTCAGAGATTCAAAGGGTCAAATATTTTGAAGACACTTTCATTCACATATCATGTTAATAAGGTCTGAGACTACAGAAAATATTGAATTCTGTGCTTCTTTTCTGGCATTTTGCTACTTAGATGAATGAGAGATGGTATACTTCACGATTTCAGGGATGTTGAGTTGGAAGCACTTACTGGCTGTGTTTTTGTCTAAAAACACTCATACCTTGAAAATTTTTCTGCCTCTGTCTCAATTTCTGTATTGAGACAACTATTAAGAGTCTTACCATGATAATATGAAGAACTTAATACATTCCTAAGAAGTTTTCTTAAAAAAAAATAAAAAATTCTTAACAAGTGTCTCCTCCTCCTACTCCAATTTATGTAACAAAAAATTCCAAGCCTAAAATGTAACTCTTCTTGATCAGAGCACTTGAAAGCTGAATCACAATCTGAATTCAGAAGCTACTTTTTCTCTCCACAGATTCAAAAGCTGAAATCCCATTTGTGTTAGCTGTCAAATTAGCTAGCTATGGTTGTGATTAGAATGTCTTAAAGAGAGAATTTCTGCTCAATGGGATTTTCTGGGGAAAAAAGAAATAAATTCTGTTGCGGAGTTAAAGGAATAAATACTGGAATTTCCCCCCTTGCCCTTCCCCCAAAATAACCCCCAAATTATTACCTATAGTCTGTTAAAATCAGAGAATATTAATGTTGAAAATGCAGGTCAAGCAAGTCAAGAGCAAGTTATTTAGTACCATGTCCAGGCCAGTCTTGAGTTTTGATTGTTTTCTTCAGGGTGCAATTTCTTCTCCTGATTTATGATATCAGAATTTTCCAGGTACCAGCTGGTGCCTGTTGTAGCTTGTCCTTTTCCTGAGCAGAGATTTTGCTCCCTGATGCCACTAAGGTTCTCAGGTGCTGCCAGAGAGCTACTCCTGCTGCCAGGAGGTTCTCCTTGACCCCAGTGCCTGACAGAAAGATGACTCCAAACAGGGTGGATCCCCTGCAGGTGCAGGTATGCACACATGTCTGTGTTAAAAGGTACTGTTAGCCAGTGTTTTGCTCATCTTTTCCCCCAAGGAACACCCTAACTCACCAGCTGCTCCTCAGTTGGATTCAGTATCCCTGCTCCCAGCCTGCAGGGCGGTGCCTGTCAGTCTAACCAGTGGGCCTTGTCCTCCGCAGCCTATTCAGCTGTGGGAGACCACGTCACAGGCTTTGTTAAATTAAAATAGCACACACTGCTCATCCTTCATTCACCAAACCAGTCCTGTATTCATGCTAAGCTCTCAGGTGACACAGTTCAAATGTTTATTCCTGGTCATTTCTTGTTTTCAATATCCTGGGAGTCGTTTTCTGAAGAATTTGACCTATGACCTTCCCAGGCACTGAGGGTGATTAACCTGTATTTACCTGGAGTAATGAGTGCAGAATTTGAGCTGTTTGTTCAATGACCATGGTCAGAAGTTTGACTTATTATCTGATTAATTTTTCTCCCTCTTTGCCTCACTGCTTGGCTAAAAATACTCCGTTAGAACAATGCAAAGGGTCTGGGATTAAAATTCTGTTAACTCAGAAAAAAAACTGTTCTAAGGACAATTAATTTGAGGTTACTTGAGAACTTCCATACCTGTAACTGTTTAAACATGGAATGTGGAAATGCTGGTTAGAGTGCTCTCAATAAGCAGAAGGGAAGGTAATAAGAGGCAAATCACAAGTGTTCATAAAATATAGCATGACTTTGAGCACTGTAATAAACAGGCTATTCAGTCTTGCTACGGTACAAATACCGGTGGTAGTAAATCTGTCAGACACTCTGCAATGCTGTGAGGAAAGAAAGAGGTTGAAGGACATTCAATTGGACAAGGCCACAGCCAAGAGAGTTTGATAAAAACCTGCACATAACTAGAAGGCATTAGGGGCTAAAATGGAGGCAGAGTCATTGGTGTGATTCACAAGTGTCTGACAGAGAACGATCAAATAAAATTAAGGGAGAGTCTATCAGTAAAGATTGAATAAGATGTGGACACACTCCCATGTGAATCTGAAGGACAGCCCATGAGCTCTGAAAACTGAAGAGACTAAGTAACAAATATGAAAATTTTATCAGTCCCATATGAGCAGGGAAGTAAAGGGAATGCTTTTATGAGAATCCATGTGCCTAGCAGCTGTGATGCTCTGAAGAGGATCCACTGAAATTTCTGTGGAAAAGTTGCTGCTAATCCCAGTCAAGGTAGATCAAGACATTAGTGTGAGTACAGGCCATGTTTGTCAGAGTAATTTGTCCAGGAAGAAAGGTGGAATGGACAAGGAATGGTTGAACCAGTGCAGGACCATAGGGGGTACTTAGTAGTACTCAGTAGTATTCAGTAAGCCATTAGCTGTGCATGGGAACCTATGGAAATGTGTTAGCTGAATATCTGTTTTCCTTCACAGGAGGAGTTAATTAGTTAATTGGTCATACTTGGAAGTGATGGAGTATGGGGCTATACTATTCCATTCAGGAGAGCATGCTGGGCTTATGTACTTTGATTTTATTAGAGCTAAAATACTGTCATGTTCTGTATTTTACAACATAACATGCGAAAGTTCACTTTGGTTTTCCGTGTTTGTCAAGAGGTTGTTTTCTTTGTCTCACTTAGATATTTCACTTGCCGGAGCCTCGAGTATGTGTGGAGCCCGTCTTGTTCTCACACAGATTGTTGCCCTTCTGATGAAGAGGTTTCACCACACAAGGCGAGACTGGAGAGGAAGCCTGTCAAATGTGCTGCTGCCCGTCCTCTTTGTTGCGCTGGCAATGGCCTTGTTTAGTGTGAAGCCGCTGGCTATCGATTATCCTTCTCTCAAGCTGACACCAAGACTTTACGACAATGCAGAATCCTTCTTTAGGTAAAGAGCTCATCCATCATCATCAATATCCAGGGCTCTGGGACCTTTACCCTTGAGTTCTCCTATTGTAAAGACCTTCTTGTATTCTAGAAAGAATGATAGGTTACTTTTTGCAATAGTTATGTGGAGTTTTTTTATAGATGTTTAATACACTTTTATAGATTATTATAAGGTAAAGATAAAATTAGAAAAGCTTTGTGTGTGAAGGATTTTCTGGAGGAAAGGGCAAAGGCTTTGGAGAAGATTGAACTCAAATCAATACCAGCCATGACCATTTATATGTAAATGAACAAGTGTATTTGAACAAGCATATTTGAACATGCCTTTGCATGCTTCATTTTAAAAAAATTGCTTAGGCCTGAAGTTATTTTCTCAGAACAATTATTGGGTTTGAAAATGCCACACGGTATTTACAAAGCCTGCTGCTCTTCTTACTCAACCTAATTCTGTATGTTCAGCTTCAAAACCAACTAGATTGTTTATTTATTTATTTATTTTTAATGTGCGGTGTCTACGGAATTAATCTATATATAGAGTGCTAATCACACATATAAGTCACTTTCTTTATTGTGCAAATATACAGTTGAACATAGCAAGATGTTGTTTGAATTTATAAATATAATAAAAATTTATTTTATAAGCATGAAAACACTTTAGCAATGCCAACAGCTAGAAATGCATGACTATAAGGAGAAGGATGCCCATGAATAGATGTTGAGATTTGTTTAGCCATAATTGTAATGAATTTTCTTTACATGTCATAGAGTTCTTTGAAATGAGATTATTTTGGTATGTTTCCTATGCATGGATTCTATAGTGCTTTAATTTCTTGGAAAATATATAGGACCTTGAGACTGAAGGTTAATACAGCTACACATATTAACATGTCTTTATTTATTTTATTTTTTTATTTTTCTTTCCTCTTCACTCCTTATACTCCTATGGTCCTCTTTGAGCAGCACTGAAGGTGGTGACCTAGGAAAACTTTCTCAGGTTCTACTGGGATATTTCTCTGATTGGGACCACAGATGCACAAGTTCACAACATGGGTAATTGTAACTAATGTAACAATTTCCTTAAATATTGAACATTTAATATTTTTTTTTCTTTCTGTGTAATGGATTCTCTTAGCCTTTTTTTGGCAGCATGGAGTTAGTGACAAATCGTTTCTGATAAAGGAGCTGGCACTCAGGTGAAGAACAAAGTAGGCTTTACTGTTAAAGGTCTAATCCATACATCTTAAAAGCCAGTGGCAGTTTTCCTCTTAATTTCAGGATGATTTTGATAAAGCCTGATGTCCATATGAAAGATGAATAGACAATAAAGAAAATATTTGTTATGAAGTATTCTAGATTTCCAAATTCAGGAATGAAGTGGTGACAATGCTTTAATAATTGCTGCAAATATGACACATGAAGCTCATTTGATGCCTATATAAATATTTTTAATAAATAAACTTTGATAAAAGTAAGTAAAATTTGTATAACTCTAGACACAGCTGCTGCTGTGATGAAATGCTAAGAAGGCGTTAGAATGCCAGATCTGCTCATTACTCTCTGGATTTCTTCTGTTAAGAGACATATTCCTTTCATTTCCAAGTTATAATTTTTATTACATTTATTCCTATTAGAAAAAATAATTCATGCTGGCAGATGGAATCTATGTCACCTCAGGATTCATGCAGATGTGTGTCTGAACAGGAGGTATGTAAATTTTATTTACTTATATATGTAAAAAATGTGTGTATATTACTTATAATTCCTTGGCTGCTGTTTTTGAAGGGTTGGTGAAAGTGATGAGGAAATAAATCCTCACAGGTCCGACTTTGTTATGATTGGAGGTTTACTTCTGTTTCACTTAATGAAATTGTACAGAGTTTTCTTGTTTATATATATACGAACACATATGTGCACTAGAAATGGCTATAGATTGATCTGAAATAAGAGGATCAGAGGCAGCTGAACTATTTTCAGCAGATGCAACTTACTTTAAATGTGTTATAGGACTGAGTAAGAAAAACCTTCATGTAAAACAAGGTTAAAATATAACACTTCCTTAACATCTGGAATACTTTCAAAGGGAAGGATGCATGAACCTAGCTGGTAGAACCCACCAGGGAATTTACACTTGAATGAGATTTAATTGTGAGAGTTTGTTTGTGGTTTGGATTTTGGATTTCAAAATACAACAGGCTTCAAGAAATGAAGGATTTTGAAAAACATAATGAATTTCAGACCTTCTTAATGAATTATTTTTCCTGCTACTTGCTCTGCGTTGAGTAGTAGACAAAAATATGAAACTGCATCTGAGGTGACAAATGTATTTCCCCAAAAAGGAGTATCCTACAAAAAAAGTTTATTTTATTTATGAAGATATAATTATTTAGAATAAGAGTAGCCTATGAAATATAGTGATGTAGTTTTGGGAAAAATGGAAGGAGGAAACTTATTTTTTACTTTTCTGGATGAGGAATAAGTTTGCCTCTAATACTCAAGAGACTTAAAATACAAGAAGGTTGAATAAAATACAAATGGGAACTTTCATAGGGAGAGGTCTATTAACCATGAAAACTGAAAGAAGTCACTTGACAGTGGAGGCAGAACTTTTATCTGTGAGCTATGTAAGAGCAATCTTTGAGAGTGAATTTTTATTTTCTGTAGGTTTGAGATGTCAAAGAAGCATTAAAATTTTTCTGTTTATTGGCATAAAGTACTTTGTAAAGCTTCTGAGAAAATTGAGTCTAATACCTTTCACCTTTTCTTTGGTTGTGGAATGTCCCACTGAATCATTGGAAGACATCTTCTTTTATTCTTCTGTTCAGCTCATCAATTAAATTTTTACAAGCTTATAACATAAATTAGAATTTTGCTTTCATCTCATATTTATCTGGTGCCTATTTTGTGTTTCTTCTCAGGAAAAACAAATAAAAAGCAGTCTTGCCTTTTCAATTGCTGTAAACATTCCTAAGCTTATATAAAAGTTTTGATGTTTTCAAAACAAACTAACTGACAGGGCTGCAAGGGAAATCAAAGGCATTTCTAATGTGTAGGTGGTGCAATCACTTGAGTTGCCTTATAAACATAAAAATATTAATAATTTATTGAGAATCTGTTAAAGCTGGGAAAAGCAAACAGAGTTAAAAAGAAATCCTATAAAGTCTGCATCAAAATCCAAAAATAAGGGTAAATGTAGTGCCACTGCTTTTAAAAAGAGCTTTACTTACTTTATGTATGCTTTTTTTCAGATGTGCCCAACTTTCAATACCTCTGCTCCCTATGTGAAGAATAAGAAAGGACATATTTTTTATAATCTTTCAGGGTTCCCGGTGGAAGAGTATTTAGCGAGGTCTTCCAACAAAACAAGGTAACCTTAAAATGTCTAGCCTTTGTTTATCCTTTGTGTATAAACCCCACAGTCCTTCCTGGTGGACATAGATAGGCATAGACATTTGTCACTGAGAATATAAAGGGTCGTTGTCTTTCTGTGGTGATTGTTATCAAGGTGTAGAGTTAGGCTGCGATTCAAGGTAACATGAAAGATCCTCAATGGTCACATCTCAGAACTTCCTTCAGCAGCTGCATGATGATCACCTCTAGACATATTCTGGAGTTTCTTCCAGGTAGTGAGCTATTTCAGCATCTCAGAGATGCATATCTAAACCAGGTGATCAAAATAATTTCCATTCCTCAGAGACTCAATCTAATAGAGGTGGATATGCTCCAATTAATATTGTCTTTGAAGTAGAAAGGGCTGGTGTGCCCCTGGCAATACTTCATATTCTGTGATATCAGCAACAGAGGTTATCTGCTGTATTTTGAAGTTTATTTCTTTTATTTATGTGCCTTTACAACTCAACCACTGCTGATAATGTAAGTGGAAATATTAGAGCATGTATGATTTTATTGAGGAGAAGAAAGTGTTAGCCACTTATATATTAGAAGAAAGGGCATCTGGTCTGATAGAGGTGAGCATCGTTGGATGAAAGATTCGAGCTAATATATGAATGGTTTAGGAAGAAATAAAGCTGTTCAAGATGTTTCTGAAGTCAGTAATGCCTCACTTGCTCACACCCCTTCCTGTTGATCAAAGATTTCAGCTTTCAGAAAGCAAAACTTGTTATCTAAGGGAATACCTTTGCCGGAAAAAAAGCCAATGATATTCACCCAATTAAAAACTGCATTGTCCCTCTTCTTTTTAGCAAGGAAGGAGTTTCTGAGGGGTGAAGTTTTACTTTCAGTTGAACAATAAAGCATTAGTGTACCTATCTCAACTTTACCCTTGCAAGAAAACTGCAGAGCTTAAAGTAACTTTTTTGTTACTTTAATTTCTACTATCAGATATGGTGGTTGGTCTTTTGGAGGGACGAAAAGATTTGAACTTCAAGATAAAAAATTGAATAACACCAAATCTCAGCCTCTGGCTAAGGTAAGAGTTGCACGTATGTGTGCACATCTGTATGTATGTATTGATTACTTTTTCAGGCTTCAGACATCACAGTACTTAGCAAATAATAAATCACTACATGAAATCCTTGTGCTTGAATAATTGGGAAAAAAATCCTCTGTCTCTTATCGTCTAACTGTGTTCATAATTCTTGAAGCAATCACCTGTGTTTGAGAAACTGTTTTAAATTAGTCAAATGATATACCTTTTTTTTTTTTTCTTCAGTCCCAGTGAACCCATTTTAGAATCTCAGTTTAAATCTTGCTTTTAGGTAGTCAGGCAAATAATATTTTTTGTTTGTATTCTGCAAAAAGCTGATGTCAGAATTGGCCAAAGTGCATTGAACATCACAGTAATGGGTTGCAGTTGATGCTTTTTCATGCCTACAAGGGTTACTTTACTTTGCTTCATTTCTCTCACCACCCTCCCTCTAAGAGTAAAGAGATCTTCCAGGAGCAGCTCCTTCTGCATAACAAACATACTATTCTTTTTTCAAATGAACCTTTCTAAAATGTTCCAAGGGATATAAAATCCACTGCATTGGTAAGTGCTTGTTAGCCTCCAGGTCTCATCCCAAGTTTTCACAATACGGAGATACTGTACCTCTCATGGCCACTGCATACCAAAAGGCCTTAAGGAAAAGCCCTTAATTTCAGTTGTGCTTAGAATAATCCTTCTTTGATTTCTGGGATCCATTCAAATGTAGATGCATTACAAGTAGAGGAACAGCAGTCTTGGAGAAGTATTGATGCATATCAGTGAGAGGTCTCTGCTTTTGTATTTTCCAGATTCTAGATTAGGATATGAAAGAAAGATGCTTCTGCCTTTAATTTTTTTTAATGTAAATATAGATTTTATGTGCTCTTATTAAAAAAAAAAAAAAAAGTAAACAAGGAACAGCATAAATAAGCTCCATCCCAAAATCCATTTTGAAACAAAGTGTTAGGAAAAAATATATATTTTCTCCAGTTCAATGTAGTTTCATGCTTAGTTTTTCAAAATCACTTCCTGTTTCTAATGCCTTTTCCATAAAATTTGTTAGAAATCTCCCTATTTTATATACAAATCTGAGCATACACAGATTTTCATTTTGGTCATTTGTAATCTCTCTTCTAGTTCCATATATTTTATAGCTTTGAACTCCAGTTCCATCATTCCTTTATGAGAAACCTGAAAGTTTTCAGCAATATTTTTTTTTCTGACTTCAATTTTTCCTGGGTATCTTTAATCATTTTAGTTTCTTGTTTTGACACGCTTGCACTGTGGTCCTTTTTTTTTAGTGTTGGGTATAGAGCACCACCTGCCATCCGGATAAGGATAAATTATAGTTATACTCTGAGTAAGTAAGCTTCATATTTCAGACCCAAAGCAAATAGTGAAGTAAATTTATAAAGGGCACTGTGTTATCTAAAGCATCTCCTGGAAATGTCTTTCAAGGGATGCAATGTCAAGTTATTGCATTAACCTTTCAGTAACTAATGACCAGATTTTTACTTTGACCTTTCAGGTCTGTTCATGAGACAGTAAATGTACCATTTACATAGCCTGGTATGAAAGAAAATGAGAAATTTGCATTTAAAGAGAATTACTGTATGATTCACTTCATTTTAGAAAATTTCTGAACCTTTATACATTCTTTTCCAATACTTGAAATGCCAGCAATTTTTCTTGTTCAAATTAAAAATTATTTATTTAGTAACTATTTTACCTAATCATACTGTGCTGTATATGCATGCACATGAAGAATGTGTATGTGTGCATACAAGAGAAAATATATCTATGACATGACAAATATGGCTAATTAAAACATTGATTATTGGCATTCATTAATGATTGGTGCTATGTAGCAAAAGAACAACTTCTCAATTTTTTGTATTTTCTTGACTGTTTATTCTTTGGCTTCCTTTGGTAATATGGCCAAAAAATTGTTCAATAATAGCTTCAGAGTTGCTGTTTTTCATAACATAATGAAATATAGGAAGAACATGTAATTTTAAATACTGCTGAAAGGCAAATTGTTCTGTTCACATGTCATTTGGAAGTATATTTTTTGGAGTATATTTTTCCAATCCCAAAGGTTGGGACTTGAGGCGTTACAGTAGAGTAATTGTATAAGTGTCCAGAGGAAAAAATTACATCTTTCTAGTTTAGTATCAATCATGAATCTGGTCCAGCAATCCTTAGGGACTTCTCTGCTCCTTCTCAGCCTTTCTTCTTGATAAGCCATATGTTAGCTGAAATGTCAGTCTAACTTTATTCTAGAATATTAATGACAAGTAAAATATTATGTAATAATGTAAAACATGTCTTCACAGAACTTCAATCTGATGTGGTGAGGGGTTGTGTTTTTCCTTGGGAAAGAATTTTCCTAACTATGGATAGAATATAAAGTAAAAATTAATTATATTGATATATATAGTTTTCTGTTCCTCATTTCTTTTCTGCTATCTGTAAATAATTACCTGTGTGGCACAAAAGAAATATGAAAGATGTTTCAGCTAGAGCTAGTACATTTCCTTTGTTTTTATATTTTACCTTTGTTAATAATTTTGAATAAGAAACAAGTCTTTAGAAAAAAGACCTTAAATGTACCTTCTGAAGTAAACAACCTTAAATGTCTATTTTTCCTGTTTATAATAAATTAAATATCCATTTGGTTATTTCCTCATGGCTTGATTCAGTTAAATAATGCAGCTTGGAGGATAATTCCAGTTAACTTGTTGGATATTAAAATATATTGTTACACACAATGCTGTATTGTGGTATTCATTTAGATACTGGTTGCATTACTTTCTTTCAAAAGTGCTCTCTGAACATTTGTGACCTTTCCCCTGTTGTTGTTCTGTGTTGTCAGAATTTTGCTTTGTTGTTTTTTTTAATTGCCTTTTTCCCCCAATACAACAGACACAATTGCAGTGGAGTTTCATTATGTATGCATGTAAAACTTTTTATTTTGTGAAAAACTTTCAACAGCCAATAGAATTAGAGATGGGTGTATGCAGCTGCAAAAAAGACAGGTTACCCTTGATCACTTGTTTCTGTCTTTTTGCCCTGATTGCTACAGAAGCAATCAGGAGGTCCTGCAGTGCAAAGATTTTCAGTTTTCCTTGTGAATCTTAGTTTTTCTTCACTATCTTTTGTTAACAATGGCTCTTGTTGATTAATGAATGTGAGACCTAGTTTGTGGAATAATTTGTGGGAACTAAACTAGAGAAGAACAAAGGACTTTCATGACTTTGCAAAGAGAAGATATTAGTTTTTGTTCTTTTTTCTTTTCTTTAAATGTGGGGAAATAGTGGTTTGAAACGTTTGAGTACCATGTGCCATTTCATTACATGGCATGTGGAAGATATCCAGGGAATCAGGCACAGCTTACATGGATTTATGAAAGGCAGATCCTGTGTGACCAACCTGACCTTCTACGACAAAGTGACCTGCTTACCAGCTGAGGGAAAGGCTGTGAATGTTGTCTGTCCAGACTCCAGTATAGCATTTGACACTGTCTCCTGCAGTATGCTCCTTGTAAAACTGGCTCCTTGTGGCTTGGATGGCTGACTCTTTGATGGCTAAAAAACAGTATGGCTGGGCAAGAGAGCTGTGGTGCTACATCCTCTTGGTGGCTGGTCACTAGCTGTGTTCCCCGGGGCTCCGTTTTGGGGCTGGTCCTAATTAACATCCTTGTTGATGATCTGGATGTGAGCACCCTCAGTAAATATGCAGATGATACTAAGATGTATAGGGATATTGATCTGCTTGTGAAGGTATGAATGCTTTTCAAAGAGACTTGGACAGACTCCATCATTGGGCTGAGGATAACTGCACAAGGTTCTAGAAGGTGAAATGCTGTGTCCAGAACTTGTGTCCTAGCAGCCCCATGCAGTGCTACAGGCTGGTGGTAGAGTGGCTTGAGAGTTTTCAGCAGAAAAGGGACCTGAGGGTCCTGGTTAACCCCCAGATGAATATGAACCAGTGTGTCCAGGTAGTGACATCTTGGCCTGTATCAAGAGTAGCATAGCCAGCAGGATCAGAGCAGTGATTTTCTCCTTGTATTCAGCATTGATGAGGCTGTACCTCAAGTACTGTGTTCAGTTCTGGGCACCTCACTTGAAAATAATACTGAGGTGCTGAAGCGTATCCAAAGGAGGGCAGCAAGGCTTGTGAAGCGTCTAGAGAAAATGTCTGATGAGAAGTGGCTGAGGGAGATGGGTTTCCTGGTTAACCCCCAGATGAATATGAACCAGTGTGTCCAGGTAGTGACATCTTGGCCTGTATCAAGAGTAGCATAGCCAGCAGGATCAGAGCAGTGATTTTCTCCTTGTATTCAGCATTGGTGAGGCTGTACCTCAAGTACTGTGTTCAGTTCTGGGCACCTCACTTGAAAATAATACTGAGGTGCTGAAGCGTATCCAAAGGAGGGCAGCAAGGGAGGGCAGCAAGGCTTGTGAAGCGTCTGATGAGAAGTGGCTGAGGGAGGTGGGTGTGTTTAGTCTTGAGAACAAGAAGCTCAGGGGGGACCTCACTCCTGTCTACAACTCCCTGAAAGAAGGCTATAGGGAGGTGGTGGCGGGTCTCTTCTGCTGTGCCTGCAGAGAGAACAAGAGAGAATTGTCATGAGCTGAAACAGGCAAAATTCAGATTCAGATTAGATATCGGAAAAAATCACTCTTACAGAGGTCAGGAATTGGAATAGTTTTCCCAGGGAGTTGGTGGAGTCATCCCTGGAGGTGTTTAAGAAGTGTTTGGATCTGATGTTGGGTGATGTGGTTTAGTGTTCTAGGAGTTACAACAGTAGTGCTGGGTTAGTGGTTGGACTTGGTGATATTAAAGGTCTCTTCCAGCCTTGATGATTTGATGATGCTGTTGAGATTTCAAGCAGTTGTGAATACCACATAAAGAGTAGAAAATATGAAAGATAATGCAGGAAAGCATAATGGGAGATCAAAGCTGCTAATTTTTTACAAAATGGCTAACAGAGCTTGTGGCAAAAAAGATTGAAGGGTGAGAGGCAGAGAAGAAATGACAGTGGACCTCAGAGTGGTTCTTGGAATTATGATCCAGGATAGATGGGAGGAAATAAAACAGACTCAGAGTATTGTAAACCTCACCTCACAAAAAAGTGGAGATTCAAACAAGTAGGTAGTCAGGATAATTAATCAGAAGAAAATTATTAAGACTGAGAAACAGAACTGAAGATAAGGCAGCCTGCACTGGGAAATAGAGGAGAATGTGTCAGAAAAAACAGTCAGACTCTGGAACTATGGTCCAAGTAAGGATTGTAGTTGGATAGTATAAGAAAAAAGAAAAAAAAAAGACAGAATCATCTGCAAGTAAATGAGAACAGCATCAAGGAATGATAAGAGAATCTTTAGGGAAGTTTCTAAGTGTATAGATGGCAATTCTAGAAACTATGATATTAAGAAAACTGAAGTCTTATAAGAGGAGTGTTAGGGCAATAAAGATGTATATTAAATCCTGTTCACTTTGCATTATGATTCAGAGTCCAGAAAGACAACGAGAATTGCCCTATCTAGGATGTACAAAATACAGAGTACAAACAGCTGATATCAAAGACAGAAAGGTTAGGAGTTTTTCAACTGTTTAAAAAAAAGGGGAGAAGAAAGGGTGCTAGATGTGAGAAAAGGATAATAATCAGATGGTTTTAAATGTCACTGAGACTGAAAATAAACATCCATAATAATTTGACGTCATTTTCAGTATGGATAATATAGATTCAAAGGCACTATGATTAACAGTAATGGGTGATAAGAATCAATTTCTAACTGCAGAGGAAACTCAAAGCTCAGTATATTTGGCTTTGGGGCATATCAAGCTCTCAGCAATGGTTTTAGCAAGTAGAAGTGTGGATTAAGAGTACTTTATCACGTCAGGGTGAAGCTGCATGATCTGAAGATAAAGTATATGTAAAGACAGAATTGTTTCCCTGTTTTTCTCAGAAAGACTGACTTGCCTTTTCTGCCTTAAAGTTTGTCTGCATCAATTTCCTCCGTGTTTAACAAGCCACTGATGCTCGATTCTGAATCATAATGCAAAGTCAACAGCTTTGTCTATGGAACAGCTTCATACCTTGTAAACAGTGTCTGCTTGATTCTTTCTTTCCCTCTCTTTCTAGAATATTCTGTTCCTAGATACTTTATGCTTTGTGCCATATGTAGGTATTATTTAGAGAAGTCTCTTTGAAATGTCAATGATTCTTCCAATTTAAGCAATAGTTTTACTCACCTTTTTGCATTTCTGATCAAATTAGTAGGTGTTATTTTCACATCATTGTCCTTTTATTTGTTCAACCACATGTGTTTAAAGGAAGGGGGACACAGTGTTCCATTAAATCAGAGAATCTCAATTTAGTAATAAACGTATGTGCACAGCTCCAACAATAGAAAACCGCTGCATGTTGTTGAAAGACTTATGCAAATCAACCAGTTCTGTCCTGCCTTGGTTGACTTTCTTCTATAAATAAAGGTCATAACAGAAGAGTTAGATATCCTTCATACAATTCTTAAAGGAATGTGAACTTTCAGATCAGCATGCAGATTGAAACAACTTTTGATTGACATTTTCCATTCTTTCTTCCAGGTGTGGTATAACCAAAAAGGTTTCCATTCACTGCCATCCTACTTAAATGAACTCAATAACTTCATTCTGTGGCTGAATTTACCTTCTAATGTGGATTGGAGAGAGTATGGTAATATTCTTTGTATTTATTCATATTTTTTGGAAATAAGTTTTTAAATAAACTATAACAAGTATGAAAATTTTTTGGTTTACAGTAGGATTTCAGAGTTCCATTTCTCCAGAGGACTGAAAAGCAAAAATTTTAATTACAAAGAAAGTTTTTGTGGAGAATGTAATACACAGTAAGGTAAAATTTTAATTTAAAGCTCAACATATCATATGAGTTCCTTACAAAGACATTCCTGTGGAATAAGTAAGTGTAAATTGGTTTGGGATGTTAGTCCCTCTGAAACTGCTGCTAGGGATTACTTAAATGGCATGAGTAAGGCACAACAGACTATGAATTTATAACTATGAATCTATAAATTTATTAAATTTATAAATTTATGGATTTACCCTGGATATATAAATATCCAGGGTAAATCCAGAATGGCCTGTAAATTCACAGGGCAGTGTGATGTTTCATAGCATCCTGTTACTCAAAGAACAGGAAAGGCTGCTGTATATTATTATTATGCAAAACAAAAGAGCAATTAATATCTGACATGTGAATTCTCTGATTCAGATATCCTGAACTTTAATAAAGTAAGAATTTTATGAATAGATATCTAAAAGGAATAGATATCTAAAAAATATCTAGATGAATAGATATCTAAAGAAATGACTGCTGCCAAAGACTCAGCTGTTAACAAAGATGAACTTTTAGGATGTGCAAATCTAGTTTGAAATCTGGGCTTGATTAACTTCACAAGTTCATGTTAACTTCTATTCATTCCAGTTCCTTTCATTCTTAAAAATTCTGTTAAATAGGAATTTGGTTTAGGGAAACTTAAAAAGAGCTTTTGACCAATTTTTAAGAGTTCTTGTAAAGTTAGGATGATTTTCTGTAATGGTAAAATGATTTTAAGTGTTTTTATAATGAAGAAAGAAGACTAAATCAGTGAAAATGGGGAAGGAATCCTGAGAATCTAAACCCAGAGATTAATTAAGAAAACTTTCTGGCATGTCCAAGAAAAAAGAGTAATAGCTTGTTTTCAAGATGGCTGGGGTTTCATTTCTCTGAATGAATTATGAGAATGGATCAAAGGTAATATGTTTACACAGAAACTTTGAATGAAATGAAATCAGATGTTTTAACAAGAATTTTTAATGGAAATCAATTTTTAATCAACTTTACCCTCAATTTCATGCGTCTGACTGATGCTAGCTTTTTTTTCTATACCATTAGATATCTCATTCTGGAACTTAAACGTTTGTGTATCCTTACTTTTTTATTTATCATGGAGAATCAGGGTGTGCTTTCACTCAGAGAAAAATGATAGCTATCCCAAAGATTTTGGGAATTACTTATTTTTTGATCTTGCATGACACACTAATGCAGCAAGCACGAAAGTGCTTAAGAAATATTTCAAGTCTGGTACTGATATATATGAGTATGGGTTCATTGTATAATCTTGTGGCAGAATATGTTAGCTGCCTGCAGAAGTAGAGCTAAAGAACTAGAAAGTTATTTATTTATTTGTTCATCTATTGGAGAAGTGCAATGAAGATGGACTGATCATGTTGTTGATGCATAATGCTGAGGGAACTGTGATAGAAATCTTGGGAAGATAGGTCAAGTTACCTACCTAGATGTCTGTATATATATATTTGTTCATTTACTCATGTTTTTGTGTGTTTGTGTGTGTGCACACATGTATGTATGTGTATTGTTTGTGGAAACCAATATATATGTATATTTTATTTCTAAAAAACAGTTTTCCAGGGCTGTATGGGCCACTTGAACTCAGTTCACTTTGACTTTTAACTTTCTCTAATTTAAGGATACTGTTCTAACAGAGAAGAGCTATTCGTATGCTTTTGTTATTCAAATTGTTATATACAGTCCTGTAAGTCAGTAGTCAGAAGACCTCACACTGTGTTCCAAGACTGAAATCTATTCTTTTTGATTTTTTTTTTCTTCTTCTAAACTCTGTTTATAGGCAAGGTCAGTTCTAGAATATTGTTGGAAATTGCTGTGAGGAAGCTTGTTAAGATGTTTCAGAGACATGGCTTTGTAGCTATGTCTCGCATTAACGACTTGTTATTTCACAGAACAACTTTTTTCTAATGGAACCAGCGCTTCTGTACTACTTTTAAGTGACATAAAAATCATTTGGTGCTTTAAAAGGGACTGTAAGAACAAACACTTTTCTTCCTTCACAAAAAAAAAAAAAAAAAAAAAGCTTTACAGAAAGAAGCTTACTACAATAGAATAGAGCATTGCCATGGATGTAAACAATAGCAGCAATTATGATATTGAAACAACCTTGAGCAAGGCCAACAAGATCAACCATTTGTTTAAGTGCTCATACAAAAGCTAAGAAACACTTTCACTTTGCAGTGATATCCTATGCGTATTTCTTGAACATGAACCCAGTAGGAGTTCTCCCAAGGTCTATGGAGGAGGGAAGAATCATTACAGACCACATGTTGAGTTCTACCTGCTTTGCCCACGAGGACAGATCCAGTAATTTTCAGTGGAGATCAGTAGCACTAGTCCAAGTTTGTGAGAGGTTTTGATAAAAAGCAGCTGAGCAGGAGGCTAATTGCTTTTGTCTAAAGTCTTTTCTGCAGTCATGAGGGTACAGAGTATATAGACTTATGATTTAGTATGATAGTTTAAAGGAAAAAAATTTACCCAAGAGTATAGAGGACATATGCTGCCTTGCGCTGGTTTATATCTCTAGGGCTATCTGTTCAAAAAGCTTTGAAAAAATTATTGCTTTTTGTTCTGTCAGTCCAAGTTACTGAGTCTTCAGCATGCAGCAGCAGGAAATTATATCTGTTTAGTGATTAAAAAATCGGTCCTTTTTGCTATTGTATAAACTGATCTTCAAATACTTTCTCTGCAAGTAGAGAGATTTCTCCTCACCCCAGTCTCTTAACAATTTGGGATTATTGGTAAATTTCTCGGTGAGGATGCTAGGAAAGTTACAATGTTTGTTTCTTGCAATTTTCATGAAAATAGTGATGTGTCTGTTGAAGAAAATGTGTCTGCTCAGCTGGATGTGCACATAACTAGATGGAGCAACAGAAATTGGCCTGATCAGTTTATGTCAATTTATTGTAGTAAATGGATCAGATGTCTCTTTTGAAACAGCAGTTCAGTAATACTTCTTGTATAAAAAATATGTCACTTTCTCTATCATGTGGCTATCCACCCCCACCTTTATCATCAGGTAAGTCTGTGATCCCATTGTGGGAAAAAGTCATCTGTCTCAATTGTGGAGGAAATCAAATGCAGTCTGTTTCCTAGAGGGTTATAAATTCAGTGGCAGATGATGAAAATGAAGATGTTAATAAATGACTTTTTAAAAAGTTAGTAAGACACTTCAACAATGGAAGTAAGATATGCAGGATTTTTGTCCAAACCCTTCACCTCTGACTGGTATTCAAGCTTATGTGAATGATGTTTTCTAATCTTTTGTCTGAAATGCTGCATTCTTGCAACTAAGTAATGTAATTGTGAGCAGAAAAAAAAATGCAATAATGGAGTAGGGAGAATACAAAACTAAAACGCAATATTTTTGCTTAAGCTTAAGCTAGAAATCTTGATCAAGTAAAAACGTTATTTTTCACACCTAATTGTATAATCTTGAATCAGAATGTGGTTATTATGCTGGAGTATAGGAGAAGGGCTATAATCTCATTCTTAGGGTAAGGCTATATAAAGAAAAAAGGAGTGGTTGTCATCTATATTTTTGTCTGTAAAGCAGAGCGGTCAAAAAAAAGTTCTTACATCATTGTTCAAAGAACAAAAATGTCTCAATATAGAAGGGCCTTTTGTGATGCAGTTGCCCTATCTTAGGATTCATACTGAAGTCATTGATTTTTTAAAAAAGCTTTCATACTAGGATTCATTGTAGCTTTCATGTAGCATCCTCATTTATTTCAGATTCAGTTCTTCAAAAGAGCAGAAGGGATCAAGGGAGTAATTTTCAGCTGAATTTTGGTGGAAAGTGGATGTATAGTTTCCTGAATGCTTTGCAAATTATAACTTTAAACCTTATTACAAAGGAAACTGTGAAATGGCCTTTGGGTGGAACCTTCTTAACCATGTCTAGTTAGTGGGGGAAACTAAAATAGAAACCATTAATGATGGTGCTGCCTGTGAAATTATCCATAAAATATAATTTTCAGTTAATAGTAATGTCTCATTTTACATGAATGGAAATATTGTCATATATATATGTATATATATGTGTATATATGTATATATATGTAATACCTCAATTTTTCTTATACTTAATATTTTATTTGGTCTGAAATAAAATGTCTTGAATAAAGAAAGGTAGATTGGTCTTTTATTCAAAGTCTGCCACAGTCATGGTATTTAGAATCAGTAGCACAGATCTAAACTGATCTATGTATGCAAGATTCAGCTTGACATAACAGTTTACAAAGGAGTGACAAGTGACACACCCAAAATATGGTGCAGAACCAGAAAATACACCTAAGGACAGCTCTGACTAATCTACAGTGATGATGTACAAGCTTGAAGACCTTTAAGATTTTTTCATCTAGATTTCTCCAACTGATACTGAAAAAGTGTTGCTGGGTTGATATCACTTTCCTAATTTTTGCTGAAAAAGCACAGATTTTTGAAGTGTGTTTATGCAGAAAGTTACACCCAGGTAGGATGGACTGGACTACCAGTGTCTTCTGTTCTTTATCATGTACAGGATGGAAATATCCAACTCTCTAAAGTTATGCCAAATTGTGCGTGCCTTTATTTTCTGTCAGAGAGTCAGCTGGTGTAGATGTGAGATAAAAGATCTAGAGCACTTTCTCTTGAAGGCACAGATTGAAGACTATTAGGAAGATGTTGGTGTAGGGAAAGGTGTCCTAAGCTGTGCAGCTCCTGAATGGCAACAGGGCAGGATGCAGAATGTTCAGAGCAAGCTTGTCTAATGTGGATTCATTTTCCTTTTTCCTGTGAGCTTTCCTATCCAGAATGAAGAAATATTTTTATTGTACAAAATTTTTATTGTACAAAATGTTACAATCCTTCTAATATTTTATGAAGAATTTTTTTAGTAGGTTAGTAATGTCTTTTTAACAAATTAGAATCTAAAATTTTTTTAATCAAGAACAATGCAAGGAAAGGAGTAGGATTGTTCCACCTGGAAGAGAGAATACAAAAGGGAAATCATAGAGAAGCTGAAGGGGTACAATGAATAGTTTACTGCTTCTTCCACTATTAAGCATTTAGCATGGGGCTCCTAGTGTCATTTTCAAAGTAAATACACTCTCCTATCTCAGCCTAGGCCCCAGCTGTGCTACTGCTGAAATTTATAGTTAAACTGTAAAGCTCTGACTACTTCCCACCTCTTTTTTTCCATAGTAATGTGACTTGCAAGACTGATAAAAATGCACTTGTTCTCAGTTGTATAAAAAAACCCCAATGTTTTCATCGAGCAATACAAGAGATGACAACTGAGCCCTTTAAATTAATGAAAGACAAAAATGAGGAAAAAAAAAAAGACACACCAAAAATGTAGTGAACTAAAGGCAAAACAACAGAGAAAAGAAAGAAAGAGAAGCTTCATAGCTGAAAAAAAGCTGAGAAAATATATTCCCACTCCTGAATTGCTTTTGCTTGGTTTTGGAAAGGTTGGAAGGTGTGTCTGTTACAATTTTTCACCTCTGCCCATAAAAAAAGCCTAAGTGATTACTGTAAAAAGAATGTGATCAACTGCATTCTGAATACATAGATAAAGGATGTTTTAGGACGATAAAGAAAGTTTTTGTTGTGATTAAGTGAGGAGAATGTAATGGCAATCTGCAGATGTGGAAGAAATAATTTTTATACTGAGAAATTTATGAAAAGGAGCAGACAGAGTTAGTGCTGAATCATATCATATTTGGTGTTATTGCCTGGCTTGCTTTTCCCTTGTGAATACTGATATGGTAAAATTTGCCCTGAGGGCTGTTCACACAAGGCTTGCAAGTACAGTCCTTAAAAAAATCCGTGCATGAACACCAGAAGCATCAGTTTAATTGGAGCTTTATAATTTAGAACTTCTTCGTTTATCTGTCATTTATAGTTTTTAAGTCCTCAAACATGGCAGAGAGTTTTCAACTTAATGAGCCTCATTATAGCAGCTTTGCATAGTAAAAAGGCATATAAAGGCAAGAAAGTATCAATAAATACATTTTACATCATTTTAACAGCTATATTGGGACAGAGATATGTGTAAAAAAAGATGGTCTAGGTGGTTAGAAGAAATGTAGGAAGGGATAGGTTACAGAAGTACATGGAAGAGTTTTCAAAATAAAAATATATATACTAGCAAATACCATATATTAATTCTGTTGGTTTTTTGTGGTATTTGAAGATAATTTATAACTTATTTCTTGAGTTCAAGGGAACTTTATTCCTCTGTGAATTACAGGCCAGTTTGTTGGCTCTATCCAAAAATCATCTAATTTTTGACAATGGGGTGAAGAAATCATTATACTTAAAAGGTAGCAAATTCAGAGGTTGTCATGCCTCAGACTAATTGAAGAAACTTAATATGCTGAATGAAAGGCAAGTATTACATTTAATGCAGTGATAGAATTTTGAATTCTAAACACAACTGGACTTAGTTTAGCACAGTCATACTTTTCTTACTTGTAATTCACAACCTTGTGAAATTTAATGTCAGTTGTGAGTGTAAACTAAAAGAAAATGTAATCCTTTGTTTCATCTACATGACTTGAATGGAAATTGGCTGTCAAAAATATTTGCTACTCCTAAGATGTGTGATTAGTTTTTGTGACTATTCCATAGAAGGATGTTAATTCAGTGTAACTTTGACTTTTGCTTGGTATTGTATGATACAATACTGCAAGGAGCATAATACTATTCAATGTCATGGGTTTTTATTTTCCCCTGCAACTATCTCTTTTTCATAGTTTCCCTTTATTCTGTAAGTTAATAGAAAATAAAGTTAAAGCAGTGCATGGAACCCAAGTCAACTGCTGTAGACTTTTGTTTAATACCAATGCAGCAATCTGAAAGTTCCTCCAGAAATCTTGCTGCCAGGCAAGGAAGAGAATTGTCCTGCTCTGCTCTGCACTGGAGTGGCCTCACCTTAAGCACTGTATACAGTTTTGGGTGCCACAATACAAAAAAACCCAAAATTATGCTATTATAGAGCACCCAAAGGAGGGCCACAAGGAGGAGAAGTGTTATGAAGTCACTTGGTTTGCTCAGCCTGGAGAAGAGGAAATTGAACTGAGACCTCATTGCAGTTTCCAGCATACTCACAAGGGGAAGTGGAGAGGCAGGTACTGATCCCTTCACTCTTGTGACCAGTGACAGGACTTGAGGAACTGCCTGAAGTTCACCCAGGAGAGGTTTGCGTTGGATATCTTAAAGGAAAAGAGGGTGGATGGGTGCTAAAACAGGCTCCCCAGGGAAGTGGTCACAGCACCAGCCTGAGAGAGTTCAAGAAGTGTTTGGACAACGCTCTCAGGGACATGGTGTGACTCTTGAGGTGTCCCGTGTAGGGTGAGAAGTTGGATCTGATGATCCTGGTGTGTCCCGTCCAATTCTGCATATTATTCTATGATTATTTCTTCTCATATGCCCACTTTAGTTCAAGCATTAGAAAATCCTAGAAAAACTTTCTGGGAACTAAACTAAACTTTTTTTCTGTCATGCTACTTCTTCTTTACATAAATGGGAATTCCATGGTTCCAGTGGGAAAAAAAAGTTTTCTTTGATATGCCTGTTTTACTTCAGAACAAATAGCAGCAGTTGTTTAAAAAATTAATGCTTTAAAAGAAAAACAAAGGAAAATTTATAACAGTCCCTGAAGGCACATGACATGAAAAACTTCTACAAATAGCAAGGTAGCTACTAGTGATACATCAAAATGTTATTGGCCTGAATCTTCTTTTGTTTTTCTAACTACCATTGAGCTTCAGTGTACTGCATTTAGTTGCTATTTCAAAAATCTTTACCTTGTACAAGTTTTGTGTGTGAGTTAATCATTATCTTGTTTTTCAGCTTTTTAGCAAGCAGTGACTTAGTGATGTTTAAATGACTTTGGCTTGAAGATGAGGAATGAAAAATTAAAGGGGAAAAAAAATTAAAGGCAAAATAAATGCCTGTTTAGTCAAATGGCACTTGTAACTAGAATGAAGATTTTTTTTTTTGTTTTTTTACAGCTGGACTTTAACAAATTCAATTAAGTGGTGCCCCACAGAGTCAATCTAAGGCTACCAACAATTTATATCTTTACCAAAGATACTAGAAAAATTATAATTGCTGTTAGGATTAAGTTTGTTTCTTTGTTTTAATTTGGAACAGCATAGATTTATTTAGACACTAATCAAATAATGCCGATGTTGTGGTTTAACTTAAGGCCCACTCACACAACCATTTCCTCAGTCTCCCCCAGTGGCATGTGAAAGAGAATATTAGAAGTGATAAAACTCATGGGTTGAGATAAAGGCAGTTTAATATGTAGAAAAAAAGCCACACACATAGGCAAAGCAAAGCAAGGAATTAATTCACCCTTTCCTGTGGGCAGGAAGGTGTTCAGGCATTCCCAGGAGAGCAGGGCCTCATCATGGCTAACACTGACTTAGGAAGGCAAATGTCATCACTCCAAATATCCCTCCCATTCCTCATTCTTCCCCCATGTTACAGGCTGAGCATGATGCCACATAGTATGGAATGTCCCTTTGGTCAGTCAGGGTCAGCTGTCCCACTGGGACCCTCCCAAATCCCTGTGCACCCCCTACTCTCCTTACTGCTGGAGTGGGGGAGGAGAAAATATCTTGGCTCTGAGTGCTGCCCAGCAATAGTGGCACAAACATCCCTGTGTTATCTCATTTTTTCCAGCACAAATCCAAAACATACCCCCATATCAGCTACTGTGAAGAAAATTAATTCCACCCAGCACAAAACCAGCACAGCCAGCACATCTGTCAGGCACACCTTCTCAGATAAGTGGCCAACAGCATCAAGTCCAGTGGAACAGCAGCTTTTGCAGTGGCAATGATTTGCACCTTCACCCTCCCACAATTTTTCTTTTGTTTTAAAAGACACAGTTTTTATTCATAAACTGCCTTCCAATTCCAAAGTTAATTTTGCTAGGTTGCTACAGGTTGGTTGCACCAAGAATCAAAATAAGCCTAGAGAATTCATTGCCTGCCTAAGATTTTTCTTGGTCTCCCAAACTAGGCATGTTCTTAATGCAGAGCTCTACAGTTTCAATCAAAGGTGTGACTATTTTTTTTTTCTTTTGTGAATTTAGCTAAACAGTTTTGCTCAGCAAAACATCAGTAATCTAAAAATCCTGAATGGTCTAATCTAAATTCTAAACCAAGTGTATACATTGCAGTAACAATCTACCTTACCCCAGAAGATTAGGTATATGAACAAATTCTACTTTAGGTTTTGTATTTGGTCTCTTCTGTGATGTAGGTTCTGTAGTGATATACAGCATTGTTGAATCAATTTTTGAACATCAGAACACAGAAAAGCAGCAACTACTACTTGTGTTTGTTCATTAGTTTTTAGTGGTTCCAGACTCTGGAAATCACTCAATGGGAGACAGTGTTTGGTTTTGCAGACTGGTATTTGAGCTCTTTCAGTTGATTACTAAGTATTTAGCCTTTTTATTCATACATATAACAAGTGTTAACCATGTACTCCAGAACTTAAAGTCCTTAATAACATTTAATATGTCACGATTTATTTTTATTTTCACAGGTATAACTCTCTACAGCCAACCATATGGAGGAGCCTTGTTGGATGAGGACAAAATGTGAGCAAACTCTTAAAATGTTTCACTGCAGCAATCAGCAGACAATTGAACCTATCAATTAGATAAGGATATATATTTCCTGGAATAGATACTGTGAATTGATAGACACAATTCAGTTCTGCTGAGTGAAGCATTTTTTAGCGTGATCTGTCTGTAAAGTCCACTGTTTATACCAAAAATAGTTGCAGTATTTTGTAAAGAAAAATACTGAATTTATGCTGATTTTGTCATAACAGTTTTAAACAGGGTAACTGTTTCAAATTATTTCAAAGGTTTTAATTTCAGTTTTCTGTAAAGGTGAAATATTTGCATAAGCTTCACTTTACAACTCAGACACATGCTGTGCTTTGTAACTCACCTCTAGTTTTGTAACTTAACAGATCTTATTCCTGTTCTTTAATTAAATGTTGACAGTGAAGAGACATTGTGTCTCTGCTCATTTCAGGGTGTTGGAACTAGACTATCTTTAAGGTCCCTTCCAACACAAACCATTCTGTGATTCTGTGGTGTTTGCAATCAGAATAAATGTCCTAATGTCTAGTGTTTTGGTGAGAGGTTGGCCTGCAAAATGCTAGCATTTGAGGGGTTTTTCCCCATTGTGTTTTCATTGTACTATTTTGCTTTTTACCCTAGAATGGAGAATGTTCGTCAGTGTGGGGTAGCACTGTGTATCATGCTGGGTTTCTCCATCCTTACTGCATCCATTGGAATTGCCATAGTGAAGGACAGAGTATCTGGGACAAAACGCCTGCAACACATCACAGGCCTGGGTTACAAAACTTACTGGCTTGCTAACTTCTGCTGTGATATGGTATGTATTACGTAAGGCAGCATGTGCTCAGATGGACGTTTAAAGCTAGTTTCTTATAAATGAGTAAAAGGAGATATGGCCACAAGATAATGAATAAAATTTGTATTGCACAGTGACAGCTCTTGGCTGACATGCTAACAAACATTAAGTCATCATTCCTATTTTAATGCAGGGTGGGGATTGTGTTCCTTGCTTCCCAAAGTTGAATTGTAATTATTTGCTAGCTTTAGCTATGTACACTATTTTACAAATAAAATAAAGCTGGCTAATCAGCCTAGACAGAAAGACTCTTCCACACAGCAGCTCACAGCAGGAATTTCTATGCTTTGAATTTTGCCATGCACTGGCAAAACCTTAGAAATTAGTGGAGAAAACTGAAAATACTAGTCATCTACTTTAAGGGATAATTATGTTATGTGTTTTTGTGGATAATATGAGAGATACTTATGATTGGTACCTTTTATTTGTGTCAAAAACTGGAAGAGGCAGCTCAAGGAAGTGGTGGAGTTGCCATCCCTGGAGGTATTTAAATGCCATATAGATATGGCACTGAGTGACATGGTTTAGTGGTGGACTTGGCAGTGCTGGATTAATGGTTGGACCTGATGTTCTTAAGGTCCTTTCCAACATTTAGGTTGGATTCTATGACACCCTGGTCAGGAACAGAAATTTTTGGAACACTCTGTTTTCATTTAGACCGTTCTAATTCTGAAACATTAGATCTTCACCCATCCATGCTTGAAATCAGAATTTTCACACTTGAGCAATCTTGAGGTAAGAGCACATTTTTCCAAATGTTATTTACTTGACCAGTCAATCTTGGCATTTCTTTTTGCTGCTGCTTCAGATAAGAAGGCTTGGTTAAAAACAGTCCTTCATCATTCGGTTTCTCCTTGTGAGCAAAGTCAACTCCTCATTATTTTCTGCCAATCTCTCAAAATGTTCTCACAAATTCAACACAGTACTGCATGATCAATCATGATGTGGGAAAGAACAGACACTGCTTTAAATGCTAATTGTGCTACAGATCATTTAGGGACACTGAACACATGAATATATGAACTGTCAAATTTTAAATCCCTCTACGTATTTTAAATATTGCAGGCTGTGTCCTGTATTACTGGTAGCAGAATCTTTACTAGGCCTGCAGAAGTATTTGATTTATGAAATTGCTCTCATAAGAATCAGGCTGTTCTTACTGTATTTATAGGTTTGAATGATATTCATTACTATGTTCAACAAATGGAAAAAATGTAAGCGCTTGGAAAATTTAAAGAGAAATAAAGACATTTTGTTCAGATTAAGCTTGTGTCCCTAGAGGAGGAAATTAAATCTGTTTTGTTGTACATGCACAACTTCTGTAATATACCATGATTTCAGGGTAAGATTTCCAATAGAATTTGATTTTTTAAGTTATTGATTTTTTTCTAGACAGAAGCCCTAGGTCTGTTGAAAAATACTGAGACTCAAATGCCTTGTGACTTCTCTAAAATATATCTATGGGTGGTATGTTATGATACTTGTATATGGCAAAAAAAAGGTACACTGTGAATGAGAACATTGCATTCATCCACATTTTACTCCATTGCCCTTCTCTTAAAAAAAAAAAAAAAAAAAAAAAAAAAAAAAAGTATGTTATCCCACTAGCAAAGATGTGATGGCCTCTGATTTAATTTGGAACAGGTTTTCACTGTGCTTCAGTATGAAAGTCTAATTTTATCAGTATGTTGTTCTTCTACACTGAATATTTAGCTAAACCTTGATTTGTTGCCTCTATTGTGGTTGTATCTCAGAATTTCAGTTCTGTTAGGTTAAAGCTATAAAGCTAAATATTACATAAGCAGAAATGGAGGCAGTCAGCACCTAGTGAGCTCAGGTTCAGTGCACAGAGCAGGCAGACACTGAAAATGGAGCTGAGCACAGGTCTTCACATCCTGACGTGGCTATTTACTAGCAGAACGCCTCTCTTCAATACTTGGATATTAATCTCCTGTACCAATCTCACCTTGCCACCCTCAAGTATTGCTTGCCATTATGTCAAGAGACTAAAGAGAGAAACTGCTTTCCCTGTTGCCTAACGGCTGTAATGCTTTTACATGTTTTTAACATTCCCAATAAAAGATGTAATTTGCTTCATCAGCGCACATGGTCCTTCATTAAAATCTCTTTTAAAATTGCATCATTATTATTCTCCCACATGAATGCAGCTCCAATCAGTGAAACTGCTGTTTCTGAAACCAAGCCTCTGTATTCACAGTGTAATTTGATACTTTGGAGCAATGGCCCCACCTGGACTCATTATCTGGAAGAGCTGGCTTGTTAGATGGATGTATTGGAAAGGTCAATAAAAATAGGATTAAGGGGGATATTCTGTAGTCAGATTTTATCTTGTCAGGTTGTTTCATGTGTAAGGGGCAGTTTCACAGCAAGTGCAGACTATCAAATCTCCAAGCTCTTCTGCCTATTTCCTCCGAACTTACAGTGTAATTGTATTGAGAGTATGGAGAAGTTAATTTGTTAAACCCTTCTATGCAATTTACATAAGACCAGTAAGAGATGCTTACCTGCTCAATTTTTTTCCCTTCTGTTTCTAGCTGCTTTACATGGTTCCAGTCACCCTTTGTGTTGGTGTTATTAGTGCCTTCCAGCTATCAGCCTTCACTTTCCGAAAGAACTTGGCAGCCACTGTTCTCCTGCTGATACTCTTTGGGTATGTGATTGGAAATGCTACTCTGGAATTACAGCTTCCAAGAAACAAACATAAATCTTTAGATGTAGTTTACACCTGCTGCTGGAAGCATGGTTTTCTGTCTTTGTAACAAATTATGATTCAGCAAAGCATAGTGAGAAAACAGGCTGAAACCCGAGTTTGAAAATTAAACACAAAAAGTGGAGGGAGATTTACTCACACATTTAAAAAAAAAAAAAAAAAAAGGAGTGCAAAAGGAGTGCAAACATCTTGGAAGATACTCAGCCTGTATAACAGCAGTTTACTGTTAGAAATTGATTGTATGTTATCTTCCAGAAATGAGGGAATATTAACATAGGTCAGAATTTCAGTGCTTAGCTGCGCAGAATATCATCAAGAAGTAAGAAACGGCTTTTATTACAGCTCTAACCATTTTCTGTAATTCAACATAGGTGTTTATATTGCCAATGAGAAGTCTGTCCAATGTGAAGTACTGGGGTGGATGGAGATTTGTCTCCCAATAGTACTGTGAGAGAGGAAAGTTCTACTATGCTCTCTTGCTTAGTTTCACATGAAAAACAATAGCAACAGAAAACAAAACAAAACAAACAAACAACGAAAAAATCCACCAAAAACCTACAAAAACCAAAAAAACCAACAAGAAACCCCCAAGCAACAAACAGAAAAAAACCCCCAAAGCCTAACCAAAAAGCAATCCTGTAATAGAAGGTTAAAATAACTGGTTCAATAAAGGATCTCTATAAAAGTAAGTCTGTTCAGCCCTGGGATCAATTATATTAATAGTGTGTTCTGTCATGTTCCTTGAGGGGCAGAATTGAAGTTGTTTTGCTGTACATGTACAGCTTCTGTAACACACCATGATTTCAGGGTAAGATTTCTGATGGAGTTTGATTTTGAAGTTATTTATTTATATAAAGACAGAAGCCCCAGGTCTGCTGAAACATACTGGGACTCAGCTCATAGTGGGAGTCATAACTCTCTTCCCATGTGCTGTCTAAGGTGATGTTAGAAATGCTGAAGATGAATTGTTAAAGGAAAAGGCTTCTGAGAATTTTATTACTTATTTCAAGCAACTAATTGTTGCTACCCTTGTAGGGGAGAGCGCATATCTTACAGGACAGATGTTTAGATAATGAAATATAGGTAATTAATGAGAGAATGGTAGGCAAAGAAAGAAGAAAGGACCTTCTACAAGATCAGGACATGTTCTATTCCAGAAGAGTTTCAGATAAACCCTTCAAAAAACTCCCCAATTTACTATATTGCTCCTTGAAAACTATTTTCAAGGTTTTGTGCCTCCAGCAACTCATTTTTTAGAAACTGTCTAGGTATCCTCAAATTTGGATTTTTTCTTGGAAATTCTTGCCTAAGTTTATTCAGAATCATACTTCATAATTGTCCTTCATCAAATGCTTTTTGCAAGCCAAAACAAGCCAAGTCCTCTCTTGTAAAACCTTCCAAACTCCATGTATAATTCTATTTATAATTTTTCCTTATAATTCCAGTTTGAGCTACTATTTCCTGGATGTGAATAGCCAAACTAGTATGAAATATTCTAGAGGTTATGATGCTAGGATTTTGTAAATAACTTGTATGAAACATCCAAAGTTCATAATTTCCTCCTCTCTGTATCTTTCTTGTGTACTACCCTCACTTCCTTTCTTCTGCACTTCCATCAAGTGATTCCTTCAAGTTAAGGGCACAAATTCTAACGAGTCTTAGTGCAAAGATTTCACATTACGAAATCTCACACCTTTTTTTATTGGCTTTACAACCACTGAATCCATCTTGTGATCCAGTTGCTGTCATATTAGCGAGGCATAGGCTTCTATAGAAACCCTAGCCAAGCAGCAATTGAAGCACACAGTACAGAACTGTATGTCTACTGAAGTCAGGACAGGGTTTTTCTAGTGTGCTATGGGCTTTGGCCCTGCCCACAGTGAGCTATCAAGTACCAGTTATGCTGGCATTGTTTTAATCAAAATGTTGAGTTAAACTTTGAATATCTCAGGAAAAAAGTAATTGAATGAAAACAGATCTTATTTTGTTGACTGCAGATGCAGCTTAAACAGCTCAATATAATCCCTCCTGTACTGTTCAGCTTTGGCTGACATAACAGATGTTGCAGTGATTTTTAACAAGGAAATCTGTGCATTCAATGTGTATTAACATATATTAAAGATCCAATAGCTGTCTGTAAGTTTAACATGTGTCAAGGACATTGATAAACTTTACAGTTTCCACTCTTCCTAATCTACCCTTTTTTCAGCCTAACTACACCATAAATGTGATGAAGCCTATTGTGGCCATTTTATTCTTCCCCAGTACTGTGCGTATAATCCTCATTCATCTGCATGCCATCATCGTCTGCATTTTTTTCCCTTTAAAAATGTTTTTTCTCTTTAGAGTACACTGTGCAGATTTTCTGATCTAGAACAAAGACAAAAATAGTCCAATTTTATAAAAAAGTTAAAGAGGTGTGTTCAAAAGAATGATCAAATTTCTTACTGTGCTACTTTAAAAGGGATTTCATTTAAAAATAAAACTAAACTACATCTTTTTCTCTTTTAGATGATTGCAGAGATGTTTTCTAGTCCAAATGCTTAAGCAGTCCAAAATGTTCTTTTATACTTAGAAAATACTAAATTACAACTGCAGCTGAAGAAAGAGAAAGAGGACAGAAGTGTAGATGTAACTTGCTGCAACTTTGAAGACTGCATTTGAGCATCATTCAGCTTTAGGATTCTGAAACTCTTACTCATTTCTTAGTAGCTCTAAGCAAAAAAATCAAATTTTGCTTTCATTTACAGCAGAGCAACAGCCCTCTAAATCATGTGTCTTCCTGAGCTGTTTCCAAGGATGGACTTGTGTTTATGATATTGTTACTCTGAGAACAGTGATTTTGATATGTGCGTCAAGGGAATAAAAGATTGTGTGATTAAGACTGGCAAAAGGATGCTGAAAAGTATAATGGGATCTTGAATAATTGCAATTTCATTTGAGACCCAAACACTGAGTCATTTAACCTTTATCTTCCTGTAAAATGAAGATAACATTATTATTACTTCCCAGCAGGGTTTGCAAGTTTGGTTTTTAAGGTAAAGGATTTTGGTATTCTCCAATGCAAGATTCATCTATAAAGTACAGAATACTGAATTCAAAAGGGAATGACTTAGTTTAGTATTCTGAAGTCATTTAGTAAAATGACTTTTATGACTTAGTTTAGTAATCTAAACTACACTTTAAGGCAATGAAGAAGTGAATTCACAGATTTTTTGGCTAGTAGCTCTTGCAATGAGCTCATTTTTAAACCAGTTATACATATTGATATTTTACAGGAAATGTTTATATATACACTGCATATATACTTATTGTTGTACAGTAGTGTATGCTGATACATATGCTCCTGCAATCTATATACTGCTTGTTTGATAGCGATATCTTTCACTATGTTGAATGGAAAATAAATTTTCTTTACATGGCATGCATGCTCTGATTGCCTGGGCCTTGTTTTAATCTTTATAAACATCTCTTTATAAATAAAAAGCATTGTGTGCTCCATTCTGGATAGGCATAATTTGATTTGTCATGATGGAGGTGCCTTCCTCCTCCCTTTTACGATTCTCATTGAAGATGATGTAGCCATGGGCATGCTATTTTGTCCTCATAGTGTTATGCACTCATTTTTTTACAGCTATTAGTCTACTGACAACCTGGTTGAGGTAATAACATGGTCTGTAGGATTTTTCAATTCTCACAATATCACTGGCACAAATACTAGTTCCAATGCAAAAATGATTGGTTTTTACTTGTTCTTCTTCTTCTTTCTTTGTTCACTACCTCCTTCTTCTTTTTTTTTTTTTTTTTCTTTATATGAAAGCCTCTCAGAAAAGATAACTGCTCAGCATCCATGATTTAAGCTTTAAATATTTGGGTTTAATTCTATATGTATAAGAGGTTTGAAAGGTTCATGGATTTGCAGTCATTCAGAAATCAGGATTGTGAGCTGTCTGGAACAGTCAAAGTAAATATCTACAGCTCAAATGAGCAAAAATGGATCATATCTGCACATAATATGGCAGTAAATATGTGTGCATCTATGGAAGTATAAGCCAATATTTTAAAGAATATATATCCCAAATTTGTCCCTTTTTAAAATCACTTGTTCTGAAGAGTTGTTTGCCTGTTTTAAAAATCAGTAACAATAATTGTGGGATATTTCTAGTGTGATAACTGACTTTTTTGGGGTCAAAAGCATAGCTTATTTGTGACAGTTTTGTTTCTTTAAACTTTCAGATATGCAACTTTACCTTGGATGTATCTTGCATCCAGATTCTTCTCAAGTTCAGATGTAGCTTTTATTTCCTACATCTCCTTAAATTTTGTGTTTGGCCTGTGTACCATGCTGGTGACTCTCTTACCTCGCTTGTTAGCTATAATTTCCAAAGTGCAGGTCAGTATCAAATCTTTGGTTTACCTTTTTCATAACTGAGATGTATACACACACACACATGCATATATATATTTGAGAATGTTCATGTGTGTTTATATATTTATACAGATAAGGTTTTTCCAGAAGAAAAATATATGGTTTTTATATATTCATGATTTTTCTATATTGACTGTTACCATCATGAATTTTAACTTGTCTATAACCCAAAAAAGCATGCTGTAATAATGGAAAAACAGTGTTAATTGAAACTTTGACATTTTCTAGACCATTAAGTTGTAATAGGCACATAATGGGAGCTGTTCTGGTCAATTAAATAGATTATATGCATTGTAAAATGTGTTTGAATAATATTGACATAAGAGATAAGCTGCATATTCCTAGAATCTCTAATGCACTTTATGAATAGTAATTTATACAGTGCATTCTCACTGAATGTATGTATTTTTAATTAGTCATACCGGTATTTAAACAACTTGATGGAAAGGACTTCCAGAATGAGTATGACTCTCTATTCATGTAAAGGTTAAAAACTTGATGTTTAAAGTCAAATCTGTATAATCTGTCATGCAAGTGTGTAAGCAAATTCAGTATTCACTTGCGTTTAAGTTTGTGATTTAAATTTGATATTATTCAAATATTGAAATGTTAAGGAAATAGAAGAATTATGGCTACATGTGTTTTGGTACTTTCTATGAACTTCAGCTAAGATTAAAATGCCATGGCTGTAGAAAGTCTAAAATGCAATATTATATAACCCTGAACCCTAAAATAATTCACAATATGCGCTTTAGAATTCAGTTTACCTTGAGTGAGATTTGAATGCAGTATCCAGTTTTGCAAGTCTGCTCATTAGACTGTTGGAGGAAACTAAATTTTTTCCCTTTTATCTTTATTCTCCTCCATCCTTCCCGTGTCTTCATACAGAGTTTTCAGAAAATCTACAATATCCTCAAATGGGCATTCATCATATTCCCACAATTCTGCCTAGGCCAGGGCTTAATAGAGCTTTCATACAATCAGATCAAGTTTGACCTGACCAGGAACTTTGGAATAGATTCTTACGTGAGCCCCTTTGAGATGGATTTCCTGGGCTGGATTTTTATGGCAATGTCCCTCCAGGGAACACTACTGCTTCTTTTACGTGTTTTCCTTCATTGGGATCTCCTCTGGAAATCAAGGTTTGTTATCATTTGTATTCTGCCACAGTGGGCACCGAACTAATTTTCGGAGAAAGAAAATGGTGTGTTCCTTTGAACAACGGAAGATAAATACTTCTGGTAACATAGTGTACCTGAATTAATGCAAACTTCAGAAAAAATACAAGTAGTTGTTTTTCCCTTGAGTTCTGATGAGAATTGATCACCATGTGCTAAGGGATTACAACCGGGAAAATAAGAGTTATGCAGAGCACAGCAAATTATGACCAATTTTCCATGTATCACTTAGTATCATCCTCTGTTGTAGGGGTAATTGCTCAGTTAACAGCACAGACAGCCCTTCAGAAGATGTTGATGTAGAAATGGAGCGACAGAGACTCTTTGGTGGAAGAACTGGTAATGATGTCCTACTTCTGTACAACCTCAGGAAGTGTTATGGAGGTTTCAGTAAGAAGAACACAGTTGTGGAAAACATAAGCTTGGGCATACCAAGGGGAGAGGTAAGGGAGTCTTTCTTTTTCCCCTTTTATAAAGTAACACTTTATTCTGAGCAATTGTTGAGACATATTCAGTGTGTCTACAGTGAAAGACCTGTAGAGAGCAGCATAAAAAATTCAGTTGTAGTAATTTCTGAAAATCAATAACTGGATAAAAACAGAAACTCTTCTCTGCTGAGGAAGCAACTGTTCCTTTTTTTTTTTTTTTTTTTTTTTTTGGTTAAACATTCATCAGTCTTAATTTTTTTTTACTTCTTGCTCATCTATACCAAATCATTGTACTTTAGGCTAACATAAAAAACAAGTAAGGTAGCATAGCAGTTTCGCGTTCAAAGAGGAAACAGAATACCCAACTCAATAGCAAACTATGAACTGCATCCTGAATTTGTTACCATAGCACGTTTTTGGTTCCCATGCTGAAATCATCACAGTACATTTGAATATAGCATATACAAATAAACTATTTCAATAAATCAAGATTTAGTGCTGAGCATTTTTGTGTTTGGGGGCTTTGTTAATTATTTGGATGGTTTGGGGAATTACAGATATTACTTTCTAAACTACTGAGAGAGAAAATACTTTTCTTCGTTGCTAATATAAAATTGGAAGAAATTGGAAGATCATCTTGCACATGGCAGCACAGGTGCAGTGATCTTCCTGCTACTTACTGATCAGCTGTTGGGTAACTGAGGTAACCAGGAGGATTTTATTGTTGATTAAGGCCTATAAATCAATAAGAAAGTTAATGAAAAAGTATTTCGATATCATAAAGGGCTATTTGTAGACTAAATATGAATCCTAGCCTAGCTTAAGCATTAAGCTATTGCGGCTAAGGGTCTGAAATAAGTGTTCAAAATGAGTGTGCCTCTTGGATGTTTGGTGTCCACTTGTACAGAGTGAAGCAGCTCATGACAGGCTTGGAAATATTCACTCTATGGACTGATATCCAGGGTTTGGGAGCGGGACATAAAATCCTCCTGTTCAAATGTTCAATTAGCATTTGCTAACAATATGGATAAATAATGGGTTTGATTGTTGGGCAGGGTTTTAAGAGGAGGGCTAGAATCCTAAATAAGTCACTTCTGGTAATTAGGGGGGAATCAAAATATTATATATATAGTGTTTTTAAAAACTGATTCTCTGTGGGAAAGGGAATTTGCACACACATTATATCCATATATAGTTTATTACAGATATATAATGGGAAATGTGGAAAGGGGAAAAATTTGAAGTGGTGATATTTCTTATTTTTTCAGCATAGCATATTGATTTTTTTTTCCCCAATATCTCTGATAGTGTTTTGGACTCCTGGGAACAAATGGAGCTGGGAAAAGCACAACATTTAAGATGCTGACTGGAGATATCATCCCATCTGCAGGACGTGCTGTTATCAGGACTCCTACTGGGTAAATAACACAGGGTTTGATCAGAATAGTGCTAATTGATAATGCACATGATCAAAGACTCAGCATGTCTTCAGTCTTTTATACTGTACTCTAGGGACTTATTTTGTTCCCTTTTAAATGTATATTGCTTTGTTGCTGTTAAGTCTCTGTGGAAAAGCTTTTTAGCATTATTTAATTCTGTTTGACAGCTCTGTTAATTGAGAATAAACTTGTCTGGTAGCAAAAGAGAAACTCTAAGAAGACTTAATATACATCCTTTTAAAACTTTTAAAAGAATCCTAACATAGGTTAAAATGCATGGACATATATCTCCCTGCAAGTTCTGCACTGAGAATTTTCCTGGCTTAGATAGGTGAGCAGTGCTTCAAGAGTGTAATTATAAAATATTTTCTTACACTAATGTACTTCGGAGTCATTAATTAATTACTTGATCAATATTCTCTGTATAAGGATAAGAGGTAGTGTTGGTGAGATTTATCATTCTGTTGGACTGATAAATGAATAATGGACTTTGGGTTAGATGTAACCAATAACTTTCATTTTCCCCAGCAAAATTGGAGGGGAAAGAAAGGTTTTTTTTTCAGTGAGTAGCAAATATGTGTATATACATACATAGGTAAATTGCTTTTGGGCTCTTTTCTTTTCCTAATTGATGTACATTTCAAAATATTTTTTGGACAAGGACAGGTCAAGAGTTTCATTGAGAAATTTTTAGAGGAAATATTTTTGAATTTTCAAAATGGCAAGTTACATTTCTTTGGTTTAGAAATCAAATGCTTTCATAGGTCAGTGTTTCCTTACTGCTTTACAAAGATAATGATCATCAGATCTAACTTCAAAGGTAAGCAGCTTCAGTCATTGCAAAATTCAGTTTTCTGGAAATTTTGCACTTTTGAAATGGACAATATCACCAATATCAAAAATAATTTTTCTTCAAGATGTTTTCTCATTATCTTTCATAGCAAATCATAAAAAATGTTGGTCATAAAGCAGAAATTATTTTTAAAAAACATATTAAAAAACCAGATTTTAGAAAAATTATTCTTAAGAGAAGTGGTGTGACTGAGGCTTTAAAATGGTTAGCGAGACTTTTAGATGGTTGTTTTCACTTATAATTTTCCAGACTTTTTTTAGTATAATTTTCCAGACTTTTTTTTAGTATAATTTTCTGACTTAAACAGAAGAAAAATTTTTCAGATATTGATCAAAATTAAAAATAACCAAAGTGATTTAAAATTAGATAAAAATCAATATTTGTTATTCTTTGGAACTGCTCCTGATGCAGGATATGATGGAAGTCAGAAGTTTACAGCACATGTCTGAAGAGGATTTGAGATTTGGGGAAATAAAATTATCTGTAATATATTTTTTTGAGAATAAAATATCACCATTAGAGCATCAGGACATTTAAGCTCCCGCTTTTTGTTTTGACTCTGAACAGCATTTCGCTGTAGATTTTAATGGGACTTGTCTTGTGTTGCTATGTACCTGTGGTTAAATGGCTAAAAATGCTTCTGAGGTCAACTAGCCAGCTACTGGCATTTGACAACAGGCTAAATGCTGTCCCTGGACATTGTGTGTGTCACTTTCATTTCCCATACTGTGTTTTATAAATCCGACATGAAAGCATATATTAAGATGCAATGTTATTTACCATATACTAAAACATAGGTAATGAAATTTGACACATTTAGGAGGTTTGAGAGAAAGCCTTAGACAATTGAATTTCAGTGTACAAAATACCCTTGACAATATTAATTATCACCTTGTACTATGGTGGTGTCAATCGAGTTTATGAATATTTTGTGTTTACAGAGACTGAAGTGAGTGTAAATCCCATATTCCCAAGATTTCAAAACTTAACGCTAATTCAAGAAGGCAACCTTAAGTTAGAGCTGCTATTATACAGTAGCTAAAGGTAGAGAAACAAACAATTTGAGGCTGTGAGAAGAAATTTATGTCCCTCCTGACTTTGTTCCTTGCTTCATTATTTTGGAAACCGCTGGTGAGCGGATCATGGTGCATTGTGTTGATGAACTCCTGAAAATCACTAAGAGGCAAGTTTGCTGGCTCTTCCAGAGGTGAGATGGTAAGCACAAGAGGAGAACCATTCCTCAGCAGCTAAGAATGATTAAAATTACTAATTTCAGGGAATTTTAGGTGGATTTATTTTCATTTATGACTCAGATAAACGAAGGAAGGTATGTTAAGAAGGCTTCTCCTTTTCTTACTCCGGTAGTGTACTCAGAAGCCTGGTGTTCCTGGCACAGAAACCACAGTCAGCAGAGGAAAGCAGCTGCTGATCACAGCCGCAGAACATTTCTTGGTCAGCAGAATTAGATTTTTTTGCTTAAAACTTACATCATGAAGGAGATTTCATAAAAAGCATTATCTCTGATACCTATTCCTGATGAATAATGCTGCTTAGATGTAGATCCCACCTCTTTTGGGTTTGACTGGAAAAAACACATCTTTTGTCCTCTGTCACTGTGAAAGGACAAGATACTGTAGTCTGATGGAAGGCATGAAATGGTTTGGGTTGGAAGGGACCTGTAAGGTCATATAGTTCCAACCCCCCTCCATGGGCAGGGACACTTTCCACTAGCTTAATCAAAGGTACATCTAACCTTGAAACACTTCCAGGGATGTGGCATCTATGGCTTCTCAGGGCAACCTGTTCCCATGACTCACCACCCTCATAGTAAAGAATTTCTTCCTAATATCCAATCTAACCCTACCTTGATGATGTACTCTTCATGATCAAATAATTAAGTGAATATGTAAAGTTACCATTTTAAAAATTGGAGAACCTAACTAATTTTATTCCATGCAGAACATCCATAATTCATAACAGATTCCATTTCCTTGACTAACTATGCTTCAAAGTTTTTGGTTTAAAAACAAATTAAAAAACAAAGAAATCAAACAAAAAAACAAACAAATAAATGTATTAATTTTCCTGCTTGATACTGAGTTTGAAATGAGTGCCTTTTTGAGGTAAGTGCACTGATAATGACCTTGAATTTTATTAGATAGCAGTTGCACCTTGGAACAACATGAATTCTAGAAATGGAAGATGGGATTTTTCAAAGGTATAAGTTGAACACAAAGTAGAATTTTTAAAAGGTTGACCTAAAACATCTTGGAAGTGCAGGGGTTTATAGCAAAAGAGCCTCACACACCAATAATAAACTTGTATTCAAGGAACTTCTGCTATAGTCTCAAAGAAATTTTAAAAATATGCTCCTGGGAAGTAACTTGCTTTTTAACAGAGTGTAAAAAAGCAGATTCACAACATCTTCAAGTACTTTTAAAAGATTTGTTCTCCTCTAGGTTGGTTGTTTGCTGAATGCTTAATACCACCAAAAAAAAAAGAGCTGATTCCTAAGAATCTGAGAGACATCTACGTCTGTTTTCATAACAAATGCTAATAAAATCCATAGAAGATAGGTATTATGTATGTTAGTTTTCAGTATCACTGGGATTCATAAGTCAGGGTCTCATTAAGTGGGAATATTTATGAAATACTAAAGCCAACTTCATCTTTTCTGCAAATTGGTTTTTACAAGACTTCTTTGGTGGGGAAATGATTTTGGGGGAGGGAAGGCTTCTGATCTGTTTTAATTGGGGTTTTCTCTTTTTGACACACTATAAATTAAGTAGATATTTTAAATGCACTGTGTGCCTGAGCTGTGTATCTCACAATTTGTGTGACCAATGCACATTTATAGTATACAAGCTGAGCAGTCTACAAAAAACCTGTTTTCTTTAAATTTTCATATCCCTCAGCAGAAAATGTTTTAGGAAATTTATATAACCTTTCTAGTTATTACTGTTATGTGATTAAAATAGTCCAGTCAGAGAAGTAATAGGAATTGATCACCAGCCCCAGACAATTATGTGAAGATAATGCCATTCACAGGGGATTTTACAGTTTTATTGTTTTGTGTAGCTCATTAATATCACTGTTATCAGTGACATGTCTGTGCAAAAGAAACTGTAAAGTTTCTTTTTAGCTTCTAGAAAGTGTCTTCATATTAGGGATATTTGCATTTCAATATTGAAGAGTGACAAAGAAACAAGCAGCATTGAAACAGTTACTTCAGAAGGCTTGGAAGCAAAATAATGATAGCAAAGTACCAGGAGTACCTTTCATAAAGGGCCGAAATATCAAAAGGAAAATCAATAATTGCTAGAAAGTAGACTATTTGAATAAGGTATGTTTACTTGTATTTAAAAAGGATGGTTTTATAAGATGTTAAGAGACCGACAGGCTTTTAAAGAGTTGCAAAGCTTAAATATGTTTAATAATTAACTGCATGATCTGCTTGACAATTAGAAGAGTTCTTTGTGCTCTCTGTAGCACAGCTGTTGTTCTACAAGAGTAAAAATGGACTAAAATTATCTCATGCTTGGCTCTACTGCTGTAACTAGATTGCCACCAGTGTGGGAGCTGTCTAAATGAAAGGTAGTGAATGAAACTGTAAACATTTTTGTAGTTACTTTTTCTGTCAAACAGCTTGAAGAAGTAAGGTCTGCATTAAATATGTACAAAGAAAAGCTGACACTTAACAAAGTAGTATAACAAAGGAGAACAAAGTGAGTCTTCATAGTCTTTGAATGTCTGCTGGGCTAATGCATCAGCAGATACTGTACATCTGTTCCGCTTTTTTGTGTTTGTGTGTACTTTGGCCAAGCTTTGTTTTCTTTCCCTTTCTATACTTGTGTATAAACCCTCCTTAGTGACTGTGTCATAAAACGTCCCTAAAGTTAAGAGCGCTAAACACAGCTTTGAAGAGAAAGTGTCAGAGAGAAAGTGTCAAAACCCTTTTAAGTGTCATGGCAAGGTCAATGTAAAATAATGAATAATGTGACTGGTGGTTTGTTTGTCTTTTTGGTGCCCTCTATTTTGCAATCTTTTCTGTTGTACTTTGCTGAATAGAGATGACTTTAAGTTCATACTTAGAGTGCAGTGGGATGCATATGCAAAAAAAATAGATAAACCAGGTAAATCTTGTTCATAAGTTGCCCCATCAAGGACTGAAGCATTTGGCAGCCTTCCTCATGTAATTATTTTATCTCCCATGAATTTCCATCTTCCTTCTGCACAGAGATCCTCCATGACAGCAATTCCCTATCCTATTTGAATTGTGTCAGTCGTCTCAGCTTTTGGATTACAAAGCCATAGGACCAAAGAACTGCTCTACAAAAGAGGGAAAAGTAAAATATTTCTTTATAGCTAGGACTTCTACTCTTTTGATAGGTATGATATTCAGCTTGATAAATAATTAAAATGTAGTTCAAATAGCTTAACTTGAAAGGAAGAATAAATTTACATAAATATAATGGCTGAAATGGCTGTTTTTACACTGTATATCAGTATAATTAGTCTAATTATAATGAAGCTATAGTTACATTAATTATATTTTAACCTTGATTTTTTGTAATGTTAATTGAGAGCATTAGTATGCACTGAATTGAATGTGCAGTTATGAGTACAATGAAATGTCTAAGTACTTTTGCAATTTGTAAATTTATATTTCATTTTGACTAATTAATGGAATCTATCTCTCTGTAGAAGATGATATATATATGTGGTATTGTAAGTACCATATATATCACTGCTTTTAATTGCATTGAAAAACTGCAAAAAAAGCATATAAAAGTGAAACAAAGTGCGCAGCATAGCCAAAAGTGAAACAATTTTTCCAAAGCCAGCCATAAGACTGAAATCAGGGGTACTAAGTTGTCCCTGGAAACCCAACACTGAGGCTTACCTTTGAATTACAGCCAATAACCACCTATAGGCAATGTTGGTAGTAAACATTGTAAAAAACAAGATCCAAATCTAGTTCTGCAATAGCTACTCTGGCTTTCTGGAAACTGCAGGTCCTGTTTATACGGGAGAAGAAAACAGGTTTTGTCCAAGATCATATTCACTCATCCCAGTGGTTATGTCTCTTTTCAGTGTCAGCAAAGGCTTTCTGACCAGAGTGCCCCATGCCACCCCCATATAGTCTGTATACAGATTGCAGGGCTTTCTTTAAGCACAGAATAAATAGATCAATGTAAAAAGTCTTGTAATGGTCAGTGGAGGAATAACTTTGAATCTAAAATTTTCTACACTCTGATTTTGGTTTATGACCCCGGTATCTTGAAAATCTGGCAAGTTTCTTTCCTCAATAGTACAAACCTACAACGTGAACACTCCATAGTGAGGAAAGTCTTATTAAGTCTGGGATATTTTCTCAGGATGTCTTGCACCAAAATATCATGATTCTCACCAAAATACTTAGACAGTGATAGAATAAAAAATCTTGCATGCTTCAAGTGCTAGACTCCACTGTTTTTCTTGAGGATGCCAGATGTTCTGTTGACCATTTCTAACGGAGGTCTAGAAATGCAATTCTGCAACTTTAAAACTATATTTAAAATATGAAGATTTCTGGAAATATTCTGGTGATGTCATTTGTTGCAGCTGTTCACTCTAAAGGAAAACTTAACTAACAAGAGGAAGTATTGACTGAGCATAAGAACAAAGTCTAAAAATGAAGGACAAAAATGAAGGAGAAAATATGCTTTATATCTTAACTTGATCAGATGATGTAATCAAAATAGCTAACAGAATTTAAAGATAACAGGTCCTCTGTGTTATTATGAAGATATAGAAAGTTGTGTATTCATGTAAAAGCTTAGTGTAAAGGTGTTTTACTTTCTATAGTTTTAGATATTACACTAGATTTCATTGTGTCTACTGTATTATGACAAAAGCCTGAGAGGGGTTGGAATCCATACTTACATGTTCTTTCGCTCTGTTTATAAAATGAGCTGATTTTTTCCTCCTGTATATCTTGTTTTTAATGTGAATAGTCTACTGAAAAATTATGGCATCCTGATAATAACAGGGCAGAAAACAAATGGCTGTTTTACTCTAGCTTGAGAATAAAGTCAGCATTTTGGTGCATGCTAATCTATAATTCAGAAAATACTAAAAAATATATTTTGAATTTGATTCTGATAATAGCATATATGATGATGTTTGTTAAGGAAGAAGAGGATTATAATTAGTTTAATGAATTGAATCAGAAATTAAAAAAAAAAAGAAAACTATTTACAGTATATCATTTACTGAGAAGATTTTCTGGTATCAAACCATCACTACTTGAAATGTTCATTTAATTTAGACCCATAAAAATGAAATCTGAGAGATTAACTGAATTTCAAGGAAAATCAATTTCCTAACACAGGAGCTTGTTACTACTATAATTAAAAATGATAATGTGTTTTTCTTTCCTCTATTTTTTATTTATATTGTTTTTATCTTAAAAAAAAACTTAGGATCTGGCTAAACAGAACAGAATGATAATGTCCAGAATTTTGATTTTGAAATCTCCTCTGTGATGTTGATGAGGGAAGACAAGGCATTATACTGCACATTAACAAAAATAAAGTATCCTAGTATGGCTTTTTTTTTTTTTTTTGGTCTTCTCGTTGGATTGTTTTTGATTTGACAGATACAGAGATGAGAGGGAGGAGTGAGGTGGAAAGGTCCATGAGTTCTTTAGTGAATACAGTAGAATCTCTGTGTTAATGGGAAGTCTTGAAGTGTTCAGGGTCAGCACTAATGGATAAAGTGGCAAGATAAGGGACCAAACTGAGCAAGAATTTTAAATGATGCATTCTCACTTTGCCCTCACTTTATGAAAGCTAAAGGTCAGTGGCTGGGATACTGTTCACTTAAGAATGAGTGCTTTACATAGGCAGAGCACTAGAATCCTGTGTGTACAATTAACACCAACGACACTTTTTATTTCCTGATGCAAACTGAGTAAGGATGCTCTAATATAGTTCTACTAAAGAACATTAGATGTCTGTTGGTTTTTTTTGCAGCTGTCCATATTTAACTTTTTGTTCTTCATGGTAGGGGCCCATTGCAGACAAGGTGTTTCTATCCAGCTACAGGGCTCATGCTGAGTAAATGTCCCTGAAATTACCCCTGAGTGTGATTTGTTCTCTTCTCACTGAACTTGGCATATTATCAAAAGCTCAATCTCTTTTTTCTCAAAAGACAACAGCTGCACCAAAAGAATACGCTGTGCATGAATCTTCCTAGCAAAACAAACCTCAGACACATCTCTCTATGTCCAACAGCATCTAGTTAACATTTCACTGTGATTAGTATTTGGCTGTGTTAGAAATAAATAAGGAATCCACTGCTTCTGACTGGTTGTATAAAAAGATCAGGATTATTCAATCCATATCTTATGGTAAAGATGACTATAGAAAAACGGTTTAATTTGCCATATGTATGGTTGTAAACTGAGAGAGCAAAAAATTCTGTATATATTTCATTGAAAATGTTCTATAAGTGGATATAAATTAATGAGGAATATTTTGTTGTCCTCTTTCCCTTATCACCCTTCTATTTTTTGGTACCTCTTTATTTAAAGAGGTGTCTACAGGCAGATAGCTTACGCAGCACCAGCCAAACCAGCCAAGATATAATGATTTTATAGTTTTGCCATTAACAGCAAAGGACCATTTTAATTAGTCTATGGCAAGGTTTGTCATAATCATGGTAATTTATCTTTTGATAGCATTAAAATATATTTTCATGCTGTGGTTCATTATGTAAAATGCAGAATTTTTTCTCCCCAGTCTCCTGAATCTTGTTAACAGGAGATACATATTTATATTTTCACTAGTGCTAGTATTTGTAGATCCTGCAGTTAACACATTTACTTTGTGTCTAAATGATTAATCATATATTTAGTTCTTTCAATCAGAAATGTAGAAAACCACTAGGAGGAAAAACATTCTGTTACTCAGAATCTTTTGAAAACTTTTTTCTTTCAAAGCTCAGATTTTTTTTATTATTAAGTATCTTCATTTTGATAGGTCTTTCTCTACATGTAAATCAGCATTGCTGAGTGTTGAATTAGATGTTGGAATAAATAGGATAGATTTAGTGTCATTATGGGTAATGAGACACCCTTGCAATCATGCTTGCTTCTTAGCAATGAATGTAATTTCAAGTAATGCTGTACAGCTACAAAGTAAAGGCCAAAGTCTCTTAAATCAGGATAATTTTATACTTTATCCTGTATTGTCTTTTAAGTTACTAGGCTTTAATATCCTGTGTTTTGTTTTACTCTTGTTGTTTAGAGAATGCACGCATGCGTATGTGTGGTCACAGACACACAAAGAATACTCAGCAAAATTTCCCTCTCTCTCAAGTCCTTCCTCCTCAATATTCAATGAGATTGATACAAATATAATATTGTATATAGTATAATATCCAGTATGAGCAATGTATGGTTTGAAATGTGTCTCTTTGGAGCAGGTACTACCAAAAAGATAAGGGAAGTAAAACTGGCGAGTATTAATTCTAATAGATGTTTCTTCTTCATGTGTTGGTCTGTTGACCTTGACCCACACACTGTCACAACAGTGACATGCTGGTGGCTTTGCTAGCCCAAAAGAGACAAAAAGTGTGCATTGTGTGTGGGTGGTGCTGCACTAAGTAACCGCAGCAGAGACTCTAACTCCTTTATCTGCAGACTTGAGATTATGTGTGTTTGACTTGTATCCCAAGTGTGGAACCCCGGGACATGGGATTTGTTAAACATTCAAATATTTTTATTTTTATTTAAACAGGTCTGAAATGGATATACTCTCTGCTAGCTCTGAAGGTATTCTTATTGGATATTGTCCACAACAAGATGCTCTGGATGGACTTTTAACAGGTTGGGAGCATCTTTATTATTACTGCACACTGCGTGGAATTCCAAAGCAGGATATCCATAAGGTAACTATCCAGAACAGATTTGCGGGGGGAGATATTGCCTGGCTAGTCTGTGGAGTTTATAGAACAATTGTACCTTTTGAACATGAGAAACTGTCTAATATTTCATCTTAACAGCTTTAGTAATAAGGTTTTTCATTACCAAAATTTTATTTAAATAATGTGTATTTTTTCTCTGTTATGCCAGTTCAAAACACAATAACATCACCGCAGATAGTAAAATAACTATTGCAAATGAAATCTTGAGCACAAAACTCCTAAAAGAAATTAAATTTATGAATGCTTCCATGTCTTCGCTGTCACACATGAAGAACTGTGAGAGAACACCACACTTTGAGTCTTGTACCTCTGAAAAACTCTTTTATTCTTTTATATGATTTAACTTTGAAGGAACTAAAAATTGTTGTATGATTCTGTATAAATAAATGAAACACCTGGGTGCTGGGATAGGAGCTGTCTTAAACTTCACAAGATAGGAGTAGTCTCTTAAATGCTCCAGCTGCCACACAAAGCTTGAGTTGTCCAAGCAGAAGCCAAAGAAAATGAGAGCTTACTAGCATAGAAATTGACAATATTTGGCAATATCACTGGGAGCTCTTGGATTTACAGATACAGGTGTAGCTGTGCTGATCAGCAGGTTGAACTTTTTTTCTGTAATGAGGCAACAAGTCAGCTGATACCAGAAATTAAGTATGAAACAGATACAGTGTAAAATATGGGTTTTTCTGTATCAGCAGATGGAATTTTACAATATGACCTGACTTGAGCTGCTCAGTCTTTTCTGCTTAATTGCGTCTCTATTAACATGAGAAAACTGTAGTGTGACATGAAATTGGTATCTTTCAATTCCTGCTGTATAAATTGGTCCCAAGTAGTAGCTATTGCACTAGCACTGCCCTTGTAACCTCCAGAATACTGACTGTTGTTTTCTTTTCATTTTTCCAGAAGCAAAATTGCATGAAGTGAAATAGCTTTTTTTTTTTTTTTTTTCTACTACCCAGTGCTTTTCTGGCTGTTGCCTCAGGGTCTAATAAGTGGCTTGCAACCACTTGACTGTATGTGAGAAGGCTGCTTTCTGGTTCTCTGCAGCCTGTTTTCATTTTCCTCAGCAGAAAGTATGATTCCTGTAAGGGATATTGAGTATTCATCAGGACAGGCAATATTTTGAGTTTTTAATGTTTTAAGCTGATAATTTGGGTATTTCTGGATGAAAGCCTGGGGAAAATAAATTATTCTTGCAAGTCTTTGTCCCTTGTCTTCAGCAGTATCCATTGTCCAGGACAATGCCTGGACTTCTACATGTTTTAACAACACGTTACTTGCATACTGCTCAGAAATTATCATACAGTCTTTTGTTTGATGGTTTGCCCTTCACAACTTATTGGTGTTAATTTATACTTCAGTCTACTAGCAGAGTATTGAAAACTTTCATATCTTTCCTTTGATCTAAAAGAAATATATTAAAGGATAGTTGTTATTGCACTAAAGCACTCAACTATAATTAATTACCTGTTTTCTCCATGAAGTGTCATTTCCTCCATAGCAGTTAGGCAAGAGTTCCTCAAGTGGCATGGTACATGACATACACATCCCTCTTCAAATTGATGAAAATCATTCATTTAGATAGGAGTTATGTTACTGTGTGCACTGAGAGAAGACAAACATTAACCTTACTGACCTCAGATGATCTAGGTGTAGGCTTAGACTATTCTTTATAGTCAGTCTTCTATGCCTTAGCATCACATTTGTGAAAGAAAGATCATCCTTCTTTTCAGTTGTCTTAATTTTTTGTCTGCATGTATTGCAGAGCAGATTTTGTTGCCATATGCTTGCGATCAAGGCATCAAAGCACTGCTGCAAATAATATTTAGCTGCTCTGGTTTTCCTCCACCAAAAACTGAAATGCAGCTATCTCAGAGGAAAACAAATGTTTTTGTCAGTGGACCCTCCTGACTGTGTGGCATGGCTGTCAAGTGCTCAACAGCTGCTGTTCTTCCACTCAGAAATGGCTGGTGCCTGGAGAAAGTGAGCACTTTAGCTGCCTATAAAGAAAATAGGGCTTTGGAATGCTTTAGAGGAGCAGCTGCATGGAAACGTAAGCTGTTATTTTCTCATCATTCCCTCCTGCCTATGATGCAGCACTCCAAGCCTGCCTCTGAATATTTGCCAGTGACTAATTACACTAGTATGCACAGACACATAGATTCTAGAGAGTACATTGGTTTGATAATGAAAGAAACATATATTCACTTTGGTTTTTAAGAAATTGGTGGGCAGGCAGGTGACTCACAGGTTGTGTTGCAGCTGAAGTTGTCTATTGAAGCACTAACTTCAAGGACCAAATCCTTTGCTAGACAAATTTATCAGCAGCAGGAGTTAAGTGCCTGACATAAAGTTGAGTGCACTTAATGTTCCAAAACAGTAATTAAATGAATGGGAAAGGAGGAGAAAAATGGGACATTTACTACCAGTGTTAAGCTTCACATGTAATGTGAGGTTTTTTTATACTTCACAAACCTACTCTGAAGATTCTTTTTGTTTAAAATTGAAAAAAATAGAGTAAAGCTTTTAGGTTATTTAGAAGGATATTGATTAATCATAGTACTTTTAATTTTTATTTCTTTAATATATTAACTTCCTAGATCTCTATTTGTTCCAAAATACAGCACTCAACTTGTTAAAAAATTAAAATTATTAGCATAGCATCAAATGGCAATCCTCATTAGCATTAAAACTTCTGTTGCAAATCTCTAAAGAAGCTTTATCAGGTCTTCTGAGGTAACTTTTTTGGAGTATGCTTTCTCTTTTCATTAACTCTTCAGGAATATTTTGCTCTGTTTCTAGAATCTCAATTATTTCCTTACATGTCATATTCTATAGGTGCTGGAAATGGGAATCTGTAAATTCATATATTCTTTGTATGTTTACTTATTTTTGGACCCCAAGGAGAATTAGTGTGTACAGTTTTATGAGATTTTGGGATAAAAAATACTGTTCCTCAGAAACTTGACCATGGATATACAGTTTCCAAATGCAAGAAATCTAGCAATTCTGAGTTTATTTGAAAGCCAAAAAAATACTGTTTTGTGTGGAATTGATGAATGGTTGCTGTTTAGGATGTTCAAACCATGCTGTATCCCCTTACTCAGAACCTGACACTTTGAATTACTGCTTTGGACATGTAAAGTTATTTTTCAGATGAGTCTAGAATTCAGCCCATGTTTATTATCATTTATACTGGGTATGATACACATTTTCAATATTGGGTCAGATTTGCTTTAAGAGGATTTGTTTAAATAAATAGCAAGAAGTTATGCATTTTATTTATTGTCAGGAATTATGAAAATTAATACACTGATGGATATAGCTTTTCAAGCTATGATGTTGACTAGAAACCATGATGTTTCTAGTCTTTCAATAGATTGATTCTAGTCTTTCAATAGATTAATAACTCCAGGTTTTTCTGGAACACATACAGACTGAAAGTGCTTAGCACCACTTAATTTTTTACTTGACTATTGGAGGTAATTTTTAAAGGGAGTGGAAACCCGCAGGCATTAGTGGTTACACAATTACGCTTTTCAGTGGAATGGATCTCTTAATTCCCTGGTGGATCTGGTGGATGGAGGAGGCCATGCCTGTTTTGACCTTTACTCCCGCAGATATTGGCATGTGTGCAAAAAGTTATTGTATTGCCTCTTCTGGAATGAATGTTGTCTTTAGGAACTCCACAAAGTATTGGGGGATTTCGTTTAGATGCTACAGATTGAAGGGCTCATTCCAATGCCTGTTCTAAAGCTAGGTGGACTAGCCCAAATTAATTTGGGGGAAAATATTTTGCTAAATATATTAGAACTGATGAGAAAAAAGAGGAAATTGTTTTAAGAAATATTGGAAAATAGGGAAATTGCTAACTGATACATGTGAAGTCTGTTATAATTTTTAATGCTGGTGTGGGGAGGGAGGAAGGAAACAGTTTAAATACATTATTACAGTCACGAATAGACATTAAACATTTTAATGGTTCAAGTGTGCTTACAATGTATATATTTGTATATAACTCTGTAGCTTTTGAGTTGGCCTTAATGCTGCCAACTTACTAAGTAAATTGATGTATTTCCTCACTCTTTGTTGCTAAAGGTCAATGAAATATTATTCAAATAGAGCATTATGGTGAATATGACAAGGAGGGAGGGAAGGTGCTTGTGTATGTATCTGACATTCACTAAGAAGGAAATCATTAACTGTAATTCTTTTGCATAAATATGTGTATCTGTATCTGAAGATTGATCACATGCTCAATTCTGACTTTCATTTAAAGTAGTTTAAGAGGGATTTTTCATATTTATTTCACAGTGTACTATGATAAAAACCACTGGCTATGCAGACAAATGAAGTTATAATGGAGATATTTGGGCTCCTCTACAATATAACTAATATGTAATATTTCTAATTTCATTCAAATTAGTATTTTGTTGTTGCTTAGGTATTATTGATGAAGCTGAAAAATTACTGGAAATCTTAGAATATGCATTAAAGAAAAGTGTCATCTCTTGAAAGAAGATTGGGCTCTATATTCTTATATTTGCTGAACCATAGTCTGCAGTGCTATTTTGAAATATAAGATTTGAGAGAGGTAGCAGGAATAGGAGACTTTTCTAGGTGAAACTGGGAAATATTTAGGAATAAGAAAGTTGGCCCTTCCTTCTGCCTTTTTGTTGCTGATGTCATTCAGTTCTAAATCAATTCTAATTTGAAATGTTTCATACCAAAGGAGCATATCTAGATATAGGTCAGATTGTGCTGTGCACTATGATGATCTGCAAGGTTTATCTTGGAAGCTCTTCACATTTAAAGCAGCAGCAAAGTGGGTACTAGAAAATTATTCCCACCCCTCTCCTTTTACCTATTTAGATCTTTAACCTTGTCTTGAAAATTTCTATAGCAGGAAGCTTGCCAGGCTTTATCTCCTTGTGTGAAAAAGGAGATCATGGAGTCATGCTAAATGCTTGAGCACACACAAAAGAGAGGAGAATTCATTGTGAGGAATTAAAAATTTTGCAAAGTTAGTTCTTTTTAATGTTGCTCCTCACAAAGAACTTTATGTTCATACCTGACATGACTGAGTCTCCTTGGGGGCTACAGACTACAAGAAGACCCATCTAACTTAAAGAGTTACTTTCTTCTCCCTGGCACTATTCCTTGACCTTCTAAATTCTTCCCCATGCAGCGTTCATCGTCCCTTAAAAAAAAAAAAAAAAGCCATTTTGCTGACTTTAGATGACACTTCAAAGCAGTCTTAGAAAAAATGGTTCTAGTCATAGCTAAAGAATAGTTTTGACTATGTTTCAGCTATTATGCATGGTCCTCTCTTGATTATTCTTTAATTACTCTTGAAGCTTGTTGTAGTTAAAAAGTATATTTGGTGTAAATATGGGGTTGCAAGTTTTTTCACTTTCTGGTCTTAAATTCTCATGGGATCTTCTGTGTAATTTGTGTGTCTGTTGGTGAATATGTAGGAGGATAATCCTTTACTCACTAACATTCATGCATTCCCAATGGTAGCAGTCAAGTCAGTTTTGTAGACAGGATAAGGTGTCTACCACATGCTTTAGAACACTTCACTTTGTGTGTTGCTTTGGTGTATAATGAGACCTGTATTTGGAAGTGAAAAACTACATAACAGAACAAAGCTCAACTATTTTATCTTAGAATATAACTTAGGTGATGAGTCATTTTTGAAGCCACAACTATAACCTCTAATTGGATGTAAATTACTGTGAATTAACTTTGATACAGCAGAAACCTTGAACTTTTCAGTATAATATTACCTATGGCTATAGCAACAGTTATAATTAAAAAAAAAACAAAAACAAAAACAAAACAAAACCTCTCTGCATCTAATGTAGACAGAGCAATATTTCTGAAGTATGGCTTTTGTATGAGAACATGCACTGCTGTGAGGTTATACATCCAGGTACCCCAAACACAGTGACTATGGATACCAGTCCAAGGATCATCACAAGAATACTGCAGATTCTCACCACTGCAGCACTGTTCCTTCTTACAGACAACTTGCCCTCACAGATGTCTCTTACTTTTATAAGTATCTTTTGACAAATCTTGCTTAGAGGGTCATGAATATCTTGATCATTTCCAAAGGTGTTTGCATAAAAATCTTCTATAGAAAGTATTATTATGCTTGTGGCAGTTTGTTTATGATGGATAGTGAATATTAATTCACAATATTGTTTACTGAATTTTTTTTCAATTGGAATTTTGAATTAAGTGGAGACTGTCCATCTGATGATCAGGCTTTCCTGTCCCTCCTTGTTTTTTGCTGAAAGTAATGTAGAGGAAGCAAAGAGAATGAAGCATACTGCTGGGGTTGCTCTGGCAGTCAATGCTGGCCAATAACAGCAGCATGCAACTCCTTGTTTTACAAAAATCTTCCATCTGTCCTACATACAGGTAGAAGACACACTTTCTCTGTTACAAAGTTGATCACTCCTTGATGACACAGCCCCCCAGGAGTCTATGCCAAACCCCTGCTGCTCTGCAGGGTGAATTTGGCAGCAGCAAGCAGAAAAGTTGCTGCTGTGTCCCTCAAGGTTTTGAGCTATATCTCTGTGGACAGTCTAGCAGTAGTAGCTGATATAGGTGGATTAAGATTATTGCTACATTTAAGGATCTCTAGTGCCAGTATTTTAGGGAGCCTTGTATGTCAGGATAGTCTCTGACAGGATAAAGAAAACGGCCATAGGGGACAGCATAAGCTTTGTCTCCAGCTGTGCTCACATGCCTTCCCAGCTTGCTCTGATCATAAATTCTTGTTAAAGCAATTAAAACAAATCCAGCTAGGATTAATTTACCCCTCAGTTATTAAAAAGTTATACAAATTTAATCCTGTTACGTTTTGTCTTAAAGAAGCTCTAAATCCACAACTGCAACTTGTTTCCTGATATTTTCATCATTTTTGTAGCTGATGGAGAACGTTTTTCCTTGAATTGTCAGTTACTCAGGTATTTGATCAAATAAATAGTGGAGAATAAGTTGAAATGAGAGATATTTTAGGTCATTGACCCATGGACACAAACCAAATACAAATGACTGTGCTGAGCAGTGCCAAAGCCTGACTTCTATATGAGAAAATCCTTATCATTTTGAAGAACAAAGGGCCCCCTGTGTTTAAGATTCAAAAGTAATAATGTGCAGCAAGTGTGGGTAAATAAGAAGACAACATGTACATTTTCTTAATGTGCATGAACAGAATGCTCTTTCAATCTATGCACAAATGCTATCTAATCTGGCTCATCTTTGTTGGCCTTCAAATTTGCAAACCACAGGTTGCAGAGGACCTGGTTAACAGGTTACACCTCAGCTCTCATGCCGATAAACTGGTGAGAACATACAGCGCTGGCACAAAGAGGAAGCTCTCTACTGCTGTGGCTTTAGTTGGTAAACCCCAAATACTTCTACTGGTGAGTAAAAGTAATATTGTGCTTATGAAAAATGGGCTACATTTACTTTTGTTGTCGTGTATGTTGCTCTAAAGAAAATTGGGTATTTTCCTGATCAGTTGGGGAGTAATTGATGAACAACCCTCTTCTTTGTTCTGCTGTATTAATGCCTTTAATTTTATTCTCCAGTGCTCACAAAAATAGAAGGTGAAATTGTTTTTATTTTTCTATTTTTTTTCTTCCTTGGAGCAATTGGGTGAGCAGAAAAAAACCACAAACACAAACACAATTGTTGTATTCCATGGTCCAAATATGTGTTTAATTGACCCATGTTCTTCCAGGATACCCCTAATTCTTACTAGTTGTATTTATTTCATAAATCTGGCTAGTTCTTACATTTCGTTGTATCCACAAGTCACCCAATCAAGCAATATTTATGAATTATATTAATTTGAATTACTTATCCCAGGTTGTTTTGGTTCTTGCATGCTACTGCCCATTTAGGTCTGACACTGGCCACTCCAGTGTAAACAATGCCTTCTGTGTTGAAGATCAGGGAGCTACAAAGCTTTGAGAACTGCATTACACTACATTCTCTTTCATACCATTGTTCATTGTTTCACTAGAGAATATTGAACCTCGCTTTCTTAAAACTTGACTGGGAAGAGCCAAACCAGTGCAATAAACCTTTCAAATCAGTCAGGGGCAGGAAAGCTGCTCCTCAGACTTCAGGGAAATTCCTGGGCTTACAGGAAAAGATCACAGGTAAACAAGAACCAGATAAACTAGATGTTCTCTAAAGTCTGTGTTTCAGAAGATTAGACACATTTTGTTGCTTCTAACTTCCTACTGTTGCCTCACTTCTAAGAGAAGATATTTTATCTGCATTTTATGCTTTAACTGACCCTGGTTCAGCTAGTAAAAGGAGGAGATTATCTTAAATCAGTGTTTTTTTCCTGATCTTAGGAAATGCTCCAACTGGTTTTGAATGTCTTTATGACAGTGTACTACTGCAAGTATCCATTTCAGCCTACTTCTTGCTGCAGGGCACAGACTGTTGCATATGGAATTAAAAGAGGAAAGAAAGATATGTAAACACGTCAAATTCTTTAAAACATTTGCTGGCTTTAGAAATCTAAAGGAGTTTTTCAGTATTTTAAAACAGGTTTTTTTATTATTATTTTGTCTGAAAGCAAAGACAGCAATATAAACTACTGAATCTGCTTTTAAATTGCATCCAGGATCATAGCTAGTAATTTGAGCAACATTGTAGGTTGCTTCATGTTTATTGCTTTTTATGTTTTCTTTGTTAGCAATCCACAGATAATGGGAGACTGAACTGAATTTTTTAACCTCTGACATTGGTAGTGAAGCACTAAAATTAGCTTCAAACTGGTTGTTTTGTTTGCTCTGTTTCTTGGAAACTTTGCTTCCAGGTTTCAGCTGGGATTCCTTGCTGAAAATACTCTGGCCAAAGCCATACTCTTCTAAAAGGTGCTGACACTCCCCATGGAATTCCACTGCATGAAAAGCAACTGGAAGAGTTTCCTTCTTCCTAGTTTTGTAGTAACAGAGACTGGATTTGTCAATCAAATATAATTCTTTTTGTTTCCATGAGTGGATGAAGTAAAAAACTTGATTTAGGGAGAAAAGGAGTAATAAATAAGGAGGGGAAATGTAGATTTTGTAGCATCACGTCTTTCTCCATGAAAGCCATCCACATGGGAAATGGGTTTGCCTGTTCTTTGCATTGAGTTAATGTTATTTAATCCTGTGAATTCTCTCCTCTGTGGGGGAAAATTCCTCTTAAAAGGGCTGTGGGAGTAACTGTTATAAGATGTCAAATCCAAACATCTTATCAAACACATGGGATGGGCAGTGTAGACATCTGGGAGCTATAGGACTTCTCCAGTTGTTTGTGCTCATGGCAGATGTGTATGCAGATCAGAAACAGTCACCAAACAGTCACCTTCCAGAAAGTGAGAACAACCACTTGCAAGTCTCTCTTATCAAAAAGAGTATATGTATAAAATTAAACAGAGATAATAAATACTTATAGCTATACATATATCATATATAAAAATTATATATATGGTAAGCATTTATAAATACACATAGATTATATTTAATAAACCAACCTACAGGAAAATTATTATCATGCTTGGTGCAGAAAAGTACCTTAAAACAAAGATGTTGACTGTGCTAACAAAGTCTTGGAGATTTCTGTGTGTGGTCATTCAGTCACAGTCATTTGCTCAAGGGGTTGCAGGCACAGCAAGATGATGTAATGAATTCCTTTTTTTCCATGCTCTTTTTACTCAGTGTTGTATTGTTTCTTCTTGCTTGGAATTTCAGGTAACTTTTTTGTATTTGGCTACCTTAAAAATCATTACAAAAGGAGTAATGAGAGAAAAACCTTCTGATTTTATTAATTTTCTTATTTTCATCAGTATATGAAAAGAGTAAGCCATGGCAGGGGTTGCAGGCACAGCAAGATGATGTAATGAATTTTCTTATTTGCATCAGTATATGAAAAGAGTAAGTCATGGCGTCCTGAAGATGGATGCGTCAGCTATTCTCTATGCATTACTGGAAATGGTAGGAGAGACCCCATCCTCTTAGAAGAGTCCATCTGCATTAAATACCTTGTCAGTTCTCAGATATGGTCACTGGTATATTGGTTTAATGGAGGAAACATCAATACTGTTTTGTAACCTCTATAGTGAAATGAAATAAATGAAATGTTCCCTTAGGTAATATATATATATATATGCTATGTATAACTATATATAAAATTTCTTTAGATAAGGGAAAGATCATGAAAAAATGTCCAGAGAAGACACAATTCAAAAATCAGAATGGTAAAGAAGCATTTGACCAAATGAGATTTGAAGTATAGATGAATTAATAAAGGAATGCGGCCAAACTTCTCCCACTGTTTTTTATTTTCAGATTTTTTAGATATTCTTAAGATGTATTTGTTGTCCCAGTCCATTATTGATGGAAAAATTCTTCAAAAATTTTTAGTGTTTTATTTATGGAACCTGAATTTTAAAATTCATGTACCTTTGTTTGGTGGCCAAGTGCTTACCAGCACACTCATTTAGAGAAATTGGGTTATGCATTGTGAATTCAGCTCAGTGATTTTCAGGAAAAAATGTGCTTTGACTTTTCAGCCCAGTATAAGAACCTGTCAAACACCAGCTAAATAGAAGAGACCTGTGATCTCCTTACTAATTATATACTATATATATATAGTATACATATATACACTATATATATTAAACAAAATCCATCAGATTGTACTAACTACACATTTAGCTCTACAAATGAATGGCTTGAAGCAGACAATAAGTACAATGTTACTGTTCACATTATTGTGCCAGGGTGAAGGAGGGAGAAATTATTTTATACTATTTATAATATTTTCTGAAGGCCATTGGGGCTTTGAGATTATTTACTTGTATAAGTACAGGAATTTTACATGTTGTACATGTCAGCAAATACATGTGTAAGGGATAGAGAGGGTTTGCTGTGTAAAAATCAGGTTTTGAGGGCTGTTTACCTACTATCCCAAGACGATTTTTTTACTTACAAATCTGAGACAAAACTTCTGTTTTAACTGGGGAGGAGTGAGGCTTTCTCAACTGTCCCTAGAGCCCTAAATTTGTGTAATTTTGCCACAGCTGGGGAGCATTATGCCAAGTTAGGAGTTATTCAGTGAATTTCCTGATTTGTGGGAAGATGTGCAGCTCTCTCCTTGTCTCTCTCAGAGCAGTTTGGCAGTTCTCACCACAGCCCTGCCATATTATAAAGAAATTGTTCCTAGGGCAGTACTTGATTGCCAATGTTAGTTCAGTCAAAGCACTTTGATTTGGACTGGCTCATGGCTGAGGCACACAAGGCATCTCTTGTTTAGCTGTCTCAGAAGGGTTGGGGAGGGCACACAGCAAATTGTAGGAACACCAATCACCTTTGAGTCCTCTTTGAGATGATGGGTGCATCCTGACTGGTTCTTTATGTCTAAAGTGCTTCTTTGAAAGAGCTGCTCACACAATTCTGCAGACTATGTAGGGTAGCAGCCCATCTGCCATAAGTTTTACAAGTCAAAGCTATTATTTATCATCTGAAGCAGTCACATCTAGGAGAACCCTGCTTTTCTATTCAGTTGCATTTCCATTTCCTAAATTCTGTTTAGATTGTAGTGTTTTAGATCGTCTTCTATCCTGCAATCAGGCTAAGGGTAACTTTTTTTTCAAGGCCATGTACTATGCAAAAGAAAGGCTGAGCAAGCTTTTCATTCTTCTCCCTTTATCCTGTAGCTCAGAATAATCATAAACACGTATTAAAGGGAATGAACAGAGTTCATGACTCCATCAGTGGCATTCCTGAGAGTGCTTATGAGGCATTTGCCTGTGGTAATGATGATACCTTTATATTCTGACCAGAATTTCCAAATAGTTATGGACTAAAAATATAAATAATGGCTTAAGGCTCTCTTCTCACTGTCATGTGGTAATAACTGTTGATATGTACTGATTTGGCTTACAACTTTGACTATCACCCTTTGAAGCCTAAGGTTTTATGTACCTGTTTTGGCATCTGTCCAGATTCTTCCACTTTAACTAAAGTTAGGTGTAAAAAATGTTCTCTGTTTTCACTACTAATTATTTGGTTTTTTCCCCTCAATTTATTTTGTAGTATGGAAGAATGTGAAGCTCTCTGCACAAGGCTTGCTATTATGGTCAATGGAACTTTCAAGTGTCTTGGTTCTCCCCAGCACATTAAAAACAGGTATTATGCATCAACATCAAATCTTCTGCATCTTTATTCAATCTAAGAGCTGGCTAGATGCTTTAGTAGTGCTAAGGCATAAGCACTTATGACTGATAAGAACATCTTCTTTTTCCTGCTGTCACTGAAGTTAAAAAAGAGGCTATTAGGACAACTTAGCAAGCTAAATTGACATGTGACATTGCTAAAATGCTTTGGAGTCTGCACTGGTAATTGAAAGAAGCAGATCTGCATCTAAAATGAAGCACTTCTGCACATAACCTAAGGAATACATTGTGGGAATCCGACAAGGCAATGAAATACAATTTGGTTCCTTCTGAGGGTTTTTCATAACAGAAAGAAGCATTTTTAACAGGTCAGCAGCCAGTACGAACATCTGTTTTGAGCTCTCTCTGCTCCCTACCTACTTCACTGACAATTGCAGATATTTATGTTGTTTTCTGCATCCTTTTCCTGGTGTGCATAAGCCTCTTTTCTCTTTGAGCTCTGCTCATGAGTTAATTTAATATCTATTAATGAGAATGTTTAATTCAGAGAATATGCTCAAACCACCATAAAGGAAACAGGATTGGAAGCTGAGGGGAAAATTGCTGCAACTTATAGCTAGAACATTTCCATTCGGTTGTAAATGTAATTGTTAGGACACGCAGACAGTCAGCTGTGTAAGATGATACAGCTCATTTAGAAGCAGCAAAGCTACACTGCTTTGTACCAGCTCAGCACTTAGCTCTCTTAAGTGCCGATGCACTTGATATTGGGAACAAGCTCTACGAAAATGCTTTGGAATTGCTGTCTGCCATGTTGATAAGGTAGAAGTTGTGTGCTTTGGACAACTTCTTGTGCTGTGACAACCCTTTTGGCTTTCTGGCCTTCCCTTTGGGTAGAGCCATAGATCCTTGCTTCACAGCTGCATTAGCAAGGTGGCCCTGACTCACACTGTCTCTCTCCTTACAAGTTTTTTTCATGAACACAATCTTTCAGTTAGAGACATTACAATCTGGATAGTGGAAAAAACATTGATGTCTGCATATCTAATTCTGATGATTGTGTGTGATTGTAGCCTTCTTTTCATGTTTGCACACCTTTCAGTGCCTATTTGCTTCAATTTCTGGAGGCATGAGAAGTCAATTGATCGGCAGCTGTTTCTTCCTTTTTCATATCTAGGTCTTTGCCTTTGCCATCTTGTCTCTTCCCAAATTTCGTAGCATGGAATGGCCTGTTATCTCACTGGCTGGAGTAGATTAGTGAGTGTGAAGGCATCCTTTATTTCTTGTGTATGAGAAACAGATCATACGTAGAGGACAATGTAACTCAGTATGTAGAGGACAATGCAGATCTTAGGTGAAAATGCTTTTTGAAGATGTGTGTCCCCCCACTCAGGAAAAATAGTATTAGGCACTTCAGTTGAGTGTATAAAGTTAGCTGGGATGAATGTGAGTCTTCACTTTTTATGTTTCAGATCCTCTGGATTGAGTGTATATCTCTGTCTTGTCAGCTTGACCTTGAGAGGGCAAAATCAGACAGTCCACAAAAAGGCTACCTTCCTCTTTATCTTATCAGTGACTTTGTAATTTTTTGTCACTTCTGATGTTTCCATTAGCAGCATCTTTTTATCTTCCCTCTTATGGAAAAAAGACACAAAAGCATACTTATAAGTATGTACCGTATTCATATAAATAAGGCAGTTATTTCTCAATTTGCTGCACTGACTCTGTAGATAAACTACTTTCAGATCACAGTTAGTAAATCAAAGCAGAAATATCCTGCTGGAAGTGTCATCATATTATTTCTTATTGGGATGATACTAGTGCTGTTATTACTATAGAGATAGTTACAGATCAGCCATTCTGGAATCAAGGCTTTATGAGTGCCTCTTTCAAATTCTCTAAAGCAAAGTCATAATAAGAATATTTAGCAGTCATGTTCATAGCAATTTTTTTTTAATAATTGTAACTTTGTAAAAAGCACATATTTTCTATATCAAAAATATTTCATACTGTCAGCAGGTTTATGTTCCATGGAAGTTTTTTAATATATGTGCATCAGTGACCTTCACATGGGAAAATGTGTGCACTTGAGATCAATATTGCTGAGACTTTCTACACAAACTGTGTAGCTCAAACTGCACGAAGATTTTTCATTTAAAGCAGGACTAAAATCCCTTTAACTCCCGGCTTATTGATTGACTTGGTCTCCAAATTTTCCATGCTAACTGTTCAGGGACCTATTGAATTTGTTTAAAACTTTAGAACCTTTAATAAGAAAAAATAGCTGTGAGCTTTATCAAAGGATTTAATTAAAAACATACAGTTCTCTGAATTTTCTCTGACTGCCTGATGCATTTTCTTGGCTGGAAAAACAAAACCACTGTAGAGAGCACAGTCTTAAAATGTCACACACACAGCTGCTAAAGCTTTCAGAAAAGACATTTCTGTGTTTTCTTTGGAAATCTTCTGATGAATGCTAGGAAGATGTCAAAGACTGTTCCTGTACTCCTGTTATTTTGTTGCTTAGTCTAGTTTCCAGACATCCTTCCAACACATGCCACTATGATCCTTTATCATAAAACCCAGGCTATCACACACCTAACACTTAAAGTAATTGTTAGGAGATTAAAAAACATTGTAGGTTCTGTGCAATTAAAGTTCCAAACTTACTTGAAGACAATTTCCTGGTATGCTACCTTGTACCATATGGAGGATTCCTGCGTCTACATGAGATGGGGAAGGGGCAGAGAAGCAGAATTCCAAAGAAATCTATTGAAATAATTAAGCTTTAAACAATTTTAAAATCTTCGTTTTCTCACTTTCTGCTCTACCTGTGAACATCCTGAAAAGATTCCAGGACCTGGAATAGTATTAAGTGATTAATTCCCTCCAGTTTTCCTGTGATTTAATAGCCCTATCATTCTCATTGCCATACAGAGCAAAATACAGTTTCTTCTAAAGTGGTAGACCACAAGGATTAGTAAATCTAAGCTGCTATTAGGAAATATCTAATATTGTAAGGAAGGTTGTTTTCCTTAACAGCCACCTCTACTGATATAATCACCAATCTTTTTCTTGTGTTTCAGTGTTTTCCTGCAATTAGCACTGTCTATTATATTTGTTCCATGCACCATCTCACAGTAAAAAACCCATCATCTCTTACATTTTGTTTAAACAAAGGAAAGCATAAACAAAACTGATTTTGTTGCATCTGATTTAATTACCAGTACCCTAAAAGTTTGTATTTTTGGATAGTGTTTTTTTGTGCTATGTGTGAATGAATCATGCTAGTAATATAAGCATTCATATTAACAGGGAAGAATGGTACTAAAATAAATTAATGGGGTGATAAATGTAGATTATCATAATTTCTTTATTAGATTTTGCAGCTTGTTTTTTTAAAAATTGTTCTTACTTATAAGCATTTCCTGACATCCTTTAGTCTGTTTTTAATTTGTTTCTACAAATCAAATTGAACAAATATTTTAAAATCAACAAATGTCCTGGTCTGGCTTTGAAGATTGCAAGGATGTAAATCTAACCACTATATGAACACTTAAACGAAAGAAAACTTTCATACAGCTTTTATATATAAAAGACTAAATCCTGTACTGTAAGAAATAGAAGCATATTTTGATATTACATGTGATTCTATTAGTGTGTCTCAAGAATTTTCTTCCTCTTCTAAATGTAGGTACGTATACTAAAATGACATTCTTTCTTCCCTTCTTGTTGAATTCTGTCTTGATGGAAGTCCTCAAGGTTGTGTCTTTTGGTTATTCTTTAGTACCACTCCAGCCTATAGAGTCCAGATTATGATCACCTTTTTGATGGATATGTGATGAAGGTTTAATGGGTCTTCCTTGGGGCCCTGTTAAATTTGCTTCTTTGCTGTGTTGGGGAATTCAAGGATTCAGCTCTTTCTCTCTGGCTACACTTTCAGTCCTTGGCAGATGTGAAAGATCGTAATTGTGCACTGAGTACAGCTTTGTCAGATGGCAGGACAAAATTCTGCTATGAAGGGTATGGGTAAACTCCAGGAAGATGCTAATGTGAAACATAAATGCTTCATAGGAATATAAAAAGTGATGTTGCTACTAATGTGTGAGACTTGTTCCATTTTTCCAGACCTTCTGCAAGCCTGTTAGAAAATGCTCTTCCAAAAATGTCTTCTCACTGCAAATGTCAGTGTTTGGGTTTCTGCGCCAAGCTGCTGAACCTTGACTATATATGTGTTTAAACAGATTTAAAGTATCTGCAGATGTTTATCAACAGAATAATAAGGGTAAAACTTCTATATAAACCTTTTTTATTGTAGGTGGCAAATTTATAAACAATATCAAGAAATGTATTAGGTAGAAGAACAAACTAAAGGGCATTTTTCAAAAAGTTAGCATCTTAGTTCTAGATGTAGTTTGTCTGAGATTGATGTGTTAACAGTTGTGCCCATTAAAGCCTAATTTCAGACAACTCCTGCCAAAAGAGTCAATTACTCTAAATTGTGAATGGATTACATTTAAATGCTCTCTTCAGTATTCTCCATTATACTTAATGCTTTTTTTAAAAATTCACAGAAGCATTTTCATGTGAGATACAGCTGTCCAGTTCTCTGAGAACAACATTTTGCATATTATCCTTCATTCTAGGGCCATCTGGACAGACTTCTCATATCAGAAAAACCCATACCAATTTGTCAGGTGCTGGACATCAAGTCTTTTCTCAAATTTTATCAGCAAGCCATCTGATTAAATTACCCAACAATTAATTCATTTGCTATAGCTGGGTAGTGGTTTTGATTTGCCAATCTGAGATTTCCTGGCCAATGCACCAATTAATGTGGTGGCTTCAGTGCTGGCCAAACAACAGTGCACTCACTGGAATACACTTATTCATTTCCTGCTGTGAGATAGGATTAGGAGGAAGGCAAAGCAGGCTCAAAACTAAAAGGATACAAAGAAAACTTTATTAACAGAAACTAAAAGAATAATAAGAATTAGAGTAAAATCTTCAGAA